TTTTAACCGTCGGTAAATCTAGCAAAGTGGATGTAATATTTTGAAATTCCTACAGATTTCTGCTATGTGTTTCTTAAAAATCTTACTAATATTATAAATCTGAAAGTTTGTGAGTTTGTGTGTATGTTTGTGTGTATGTTTGTGTGTGTGTTTGTGTGTGTGTTTGTTGCTCAATCACGCATAAACTACTGGACGGATTGGGCTGAAATTTGGCATGATGATAGCTCACATTCCCGATTAACATCAAAGCATATTCTTATCTCAAAAACCCTATCGGGCTCCGCCCCAGTGGCTTTGTAGTTCCCCATGTTAATCTTATGATTTTTCATATTTAAAAGGAATTAATGAATCTTAACAGCTGTTTCAATTAAACAAGTTGGTTCTGTTCTATGATGTTCAATAGCATATAAGTTACAAGGATTACCAACAGGGTGCAGCACTATTATTTTTTTTTAATTTATGACAACAGCTAATTTGCAACCAAAAGGTGAGTGAGCGTAGCGAACGAACTTCAACCTGGAGGCGAGTTAGCGTAGCGAACGAGCTAACCTGAAGGCAAGTGAGCGCAGCGAACGAGCTCCAACTTAAAGGTGAGTGAGCGTAGCGAACGAACTTCAACCAGGACGTGAATGAGCCATGCGAATACTTATGAAGTTAAACGGGGCGAAGCCCGCGGGTACAGCTAGTACTCAATAAAGGCATTTGGCTACGAATTGACACTTGAAAACAGAAACTTAAAAAAAAACAGTTTTTACTGTATTTATTTTATTTTTACTTTTTCACCACGAATATGTTAATAAAATCCCTTTTTTATAGTTATCTACACAAAACTTCAGTCTGGGCCCATTTTGGGTGGGGGGTATTTTATCCGACACATTATCACAGTGCTCCATGTTGTCGTCTCGGTTGTAGCCATGAGATGGATACATTGTCTTCAAACGTCTGTTCAGATATGTGTTAATGCGTTACAGTTGTAGATGTATATTTCATCCGACACATTATCACAGTGCTCCGTGTTGCCGTCTCGGTTGTAGCCATGAGATGGATACATTGTCTCTAAACATTTGTTCAGATACCGTGTTAATGCGTTACAGTTGTAGATGTATATTTCATCCGACACATTATCACAGTGCTCCATGTTGCCGTCTCGGTTGTAGCCATGAGATGGATACATTGTATCCAAACGTCTGTTCAGATATGTGTTAATGCGTTACAGTTGTAGATGTATATTTCATCCGACACATTATCACAGTGCTCCATGTTGCCGTCTCGGTTGTAGCCATGAGATGGATACATTGTCTCCAAACGTCTGTTCAGATATGTGTTAATGCGTTACAGTTGTAGATGTATATTTCATCCGACACATTATCACAGTGCTCCATGTTGCCGTCTCGGTTGTAGCCATGAGATGGATACATTGGCTCCAAACGTCTGTTCAGATATGTGTCAATGCGTTACAGTTGTAGATGTATATTTCATCCGACACATTATCACAGTGCTCCATGTTGCCGTCTCGGTTGTAGCCATGAGATGGATACATTGTCTCCAAACGTATGTTCAGATATGTGTTAATGCGTTACAGTTGTAGATGTATATTTCATCCGACACATTATCACAGTGCTCCGTGTTGCCGTCTCGGTTGTAGCCATGAGATGGATACATTGTCTCCAAACGTTTGTTCATTTTTCACGTTGTCTACGAGCTGCCTCGAGGGCTGTCACAGGATTGTCACTGACGCTTACAAATTGTTCTTTTGATCCTTATGCCACCCTTAACCTTTTAAACTAGGTAAATAAGTTGTAAATGGAAAACGTGCTGTTTATTGTAACTAAATACTGTAAATTCAATTACATGAAGTCGAAAGGAAATATAACTGTTACATTTTTTCCTACTTACTACACAATGCAATTTGGACAGTTCTTTTACAGGAAACTTAAAACATGCCGATGGAATGGATGGACACAAAACAAAAATTAAGGGTATTTTATCTTAATACCTACATGATAAACAACTGCTATGTTTAGTCAAATGCATTATATTGTCAATTGAGTTATAAAAGCTCAATTACCTAAAGTGTCTTGAAATTATATAATACAATTGGAAGGGATGAAGTAAAGAGGCGTTATAATTTAGTTTAAAAATTGAGTCAGGCTAAAGAGCGGCTATTGGTTTATCTCATCCGCCATAACCAGTTTAACTTGGGAGAGATACTTCCAGAGGCCGTTTATGTATAAAACACGTTATCGTCTAGAAACTTTTGAATCAAGCTTCTACGTCTAATTGTGAAGTAATAATTTACACTATTATAATTTACCCTTAATGACTTAAGAAAGTTTTCAACGCGTTTTATACTAACCCTTGTATTACATTCCATTATTACGGATTTACTTATAATCAATTTATTAAGTTTAATATAAAGATCAAAACATCAAATTTATCTGCAACTTTGCTTTTATCTCATAATTTCAATCACAACCACTGCAACTATAGAGTTTTATTACTTTGAATCCGTCAGCTGAAAAACGAGAAAAGTTCAACAGCGAATTCCGTTTTAATTTATTTTTAACTTTACTTATTTTAATTTAGTTTTTAACAAATTTATTTTTAACTGTAGTATGATGTTTACAACTAATTATATGTTTCTCGTTTACATTAGATCCGCCCAATTTAAGAGCGACGAGTGGAATAAAAATCAGAAGAACAATATAATAAAGCGTCATATTGTATCTTAAGTTTATATCTCCAAATATTGAGTACATGTTGTTGGTAAAGGCCTGAGCTCTGATTCTTAATTGGTTTGAGCTACCGTACACTATTAGGTTTATTTCTACGTGAGATGACCAGAAACGCGTGATCATCCCAGGTGTAAGTGTGTGAGTGAGAGAGGGCGGATGGGGGAGGGGTGGGCCACACACGCCACACGCCACACGCCAGAACCTAATCTGTGGTTTAGTCTGGGAGGAAACATATTGTAGCGGCTGCTGTGATCTGTTCCTGCCTCAGATGTACAGCTTTTATGTACCATTGTACACTGTTTATCTGCACGAACATACCTGTAAGTAATTAGTCTCTTTGTGTAATTATTGACAAATAAACTGTGCTGTGTGTGCGTTATTATTATTTTTATTTGTCTGAAGTATGAAGTATTCTGTTAATATATTTATGTACATAGCGGTGCTATAATAGTGTTCAGTAAACTTCCTTTACGTTTTCATGTTATCTATATTTCTTAATCTTTGGCTCAATTAATTTCTTAAATATTTTGCTTTCAAACATATGTTCATGAAATTAAATTATTTCCCTATTATTATATTGGTGACAATATATGCTGTACATGAATGTAAATAAAACAGAGTTCGTGTTCTCTTGTAACCATTAAATGTGTGTTCATTTTTCTCCCTTTCATAATCTTAATTTAATATTTCCATTTCTCTACATTTCTTACCTCTGGTCCTTCGAACTAATTATCATTAAACCCCTTTCTCATTTCTATTCCCATTTTTCAATCATTCCCTATAATTTTAATAACCATTCCCTACAAATCATTCAAATAGTGTGGGATATCTTTCCTAAAGCAAACGTTATACGATAACGAGTTTACACTTACGTATGTAATCCGCAATTTTTTGCATTTAGGTGTATTTTTAATTAATTTCAAGCCCCTACTACTAGTTTTATTAGGGGTTTGAAAAAACCCTAGAATTTTTAATTCCCAACTCATTAAAATACCTTATTGTATGTCTATTTCAATTATTATCTTACCACAAGTATTAAACAGATTATATTAAAAGTAAACAAACCTAATATTTATATTAATTTTTTTATATTAAAATTTATGCAGTCAAAATTTTTAGAAATTGCGTAGGTGTGAGTATATATGAATAAAACATGTCATATTTTTTTACCAACATTTTTACTCTAAGACAATATTTATTTAGGTAGTAGTGTTATCTAATTGTATTTTATTCAAGTGACCTCTATTTGCCAAATCCGTTGTACAATATTCAGCAATGTTTCACACGTCATAACGCAAATAACCCGTTGTGAGTAAATACAGCCATATATTCAGTAGTAAGCACATATAATCGACGATGCAAATGTATGATAATGATGATTGACGGGTGATGTTTACAGCCGTCACTTACCCAGACGACTCAATAGCTGTCGCGCACGTGATTTGACAGCGGAGGTGATTATTTAGACCGGGAGTGAGATAATAGTCTTCATATCAACCTACCTGGCTGATTTATATGACGTGACAGTCCCACGTCAGCACGTTAGTCAACGGGGAATGAAAAACAGAACAAAAACGTAAAATAGGGGAAAGTGTCAAATTTATATCTGTTCGAAAATAAGCTGGTTATTTGTGGTATTCCTCGCGTAAATTTTTTCCTGGTGGTAGACAGAACCGAAAGTAGTGATCTGACGACAGAGTCTAGTCATTTTCAGCTTAAAACTTTTAAAGCTACTATCGTTCACCAAATGATAGCACCTGATAACATTTTAATATGATGAAAGCCCCGCTATACAATTTTCTATCTATGTTAACCAGTTGCTTTACCCGTGCTCCACAACGGATAGTGACAGAGAAGAAATAACATAGCCGTTCTTTAAATCTACTTTAGAAAACAGTTACGTATCTATTAGAGTATGTTTTCTGTGCTATTAGTGATAAAAGAGAAATCAATTACACCCATTAGTGGTATGAAACTCTCACACAGCAACCCACAGGACAATTTTGACAACGCAATAAATAATTGACATTTTTTACCAATTCAAATGTCATATTTTGTGGAAAGAGTCATATGAAATAATTACCATGCATAATTCAGGAGTGTGATTTTTCTAATTGTATTTTAATAAATATAAACCTTTCGGAATAGAAATTCGTCTAAGACGATGAAAATGTATTTGGTTTAATCGCATTAAAATAGATAATAGCACAAACACGAATCTACCAAGTTTAGAGATGTATGCTCCTAACCCGGTGTTTGTTTTAGTGCTGAGGGAGGAGTTCCGTGTGGAGCCGACCAGCCTGAGGGTAGCTCAAGGAGAGACGGCGCTGTTGGAGTGTGGTCCTCCGAGGGGTCAACCCGAGCCAACGGTCTTCTGGAAGAAGAACGGACAAGTTCTGGAAATAGACAACCCTAAAAGGTATGTAAACAATGTTTCGAATGATTGTGTATTCAACAACGTATTGTAGGACTCTAATGACTTTAAATAGGATTGTCTTACTCCTTTGACACTAAATCGTTTTCCAATCCTTTTTAATGGATTATTTAAAATTAAATTATCCATTATGCAAAAACGGAAGTAAATTCTTAATATTCTAAAAATACGTCCTTAATTAAGTTTCCAACAGGTGAGAAAATGTGTGTATCAGTTCATTATATGACTGTTATCTGTATGAACTAAATTATATAGATTTCCGGCTTCGTTGCAAGTACCGTATGTATTTACTTTTATTTATATAACATGTATCCATCGCAGAATCGCTGGCTTATTTCTAGCGTCTAACCTTGCATCCTTCTGAACTTCCATTATTTGAGCAAAGTAAAAGTCAAAGAGGTTTATACAATATAATCACTTAGTAGCAAAGTAATTAAACCTAAACATTACCCATCCAAACTACCTCTCTATTCTTAGTTTGGAATTAATGTTTAGTAATGGTGAGATTATGCTATTTAAGAGACTATTGCGGATATTTCCCATCACAATTAGGAGATAAACAAGTTTTCATGACGTTTCGGGATCTAAGATTTGATCCAGTCCTTCAGATGAGAAAGTACCTAAAATTTAAGAAGATTAACACACAACCCAACAAAAGCTAGGAAATTGCAAAAGAAATCTCAACTACAAAAAACTGTATCGCAGTCAAAACATGAAACAAAATCTGTAAGACTTCAATGTGTTTTCATTTTGAGAAATTGGTTACCTATGGACAATTTCGGCATCTTATAAATTCATCCTATGGCTTTCAGACTAGAAGTGATGAGCGACTTTTTATACTACAAACCCGTTTTTCGTGTTTTCATATTGCTGCTTTTCTCTATATATCTACACCATTGCCATCTTTTAACTTTTTGAAAAGAAACACTGTCTGATGGTTAGTTGTTTCTAGCACCATAGTAGTTTTTCTTCGAGCCTGAAACAAGCGCTTCGATTTATACTGAAAACATAGTTTTAAGTATCCCGTGTTACCCTTCTGACTTTTACCCTATAACCATTGCACACATGGGATTGGCATGTGGACGAAATGCTCTTTATTTAGCCTACACAGTAGCCACACTCTCAACCCTACTCTGGCCACGTTCGTGTGTGAGGATAGGGGAGGTTAAGCTCCTCTCAGATTGGAGAGAAGACAGACCATCAGTCGAGAACTGCGGAGTGCGGACGGCCCCAAATTGAGTTACAAACCAGACAGTGACAAATGTGTGAGAAAATTGAATCCTTGTCGAGATCAGGTGAAGACAGATCCGAGACACACCTGTGTCGGTTCCTGGATAATGAGAGACAATTGCTTCCAGAACTGCTGTCTTCAAAAATGTTATGTGGTTAATAATAATGACGATTATTGAAATTATTCACAAATATTACTACAGATATTATATAGATCATAAACACAAATGAATGATGTCACTGGCCCGAATGTAGATATATTTTGTCATTTGTTTACGTTTATTATCCATACCGTTTCTGTTCTAATGTGCGTGATACTTACTATGATGGAAATTTTCCTATACGACGTTATTACCTAAAATGATCTATTTCTGACTTAAACAAGATTTATGAAATGCTTACTACTAATGTGGAAAATCTCTTCATTAGCCAATTTGTAAAATACTTCAATGTTTAGCTGTGAGTTACATGATTTCTTTCATTCGAAAAAGATGTTTAAAGTATATTTACTCTATTTTATATTTATCTTTAAATGCGTTGTTCTATTTCAATATATAAAAATTCAGTTTATATTGGAAATTGCCTAAAAGTATACCCACACTCTATATAGTCAAAAAGAATACGTTATTTCCATACTTTTTTCCATTAACATTCAGGCAATTGCAGTTGTGATATATAACGTGTGGCCGCGTTGGTTTAAAATGTAATTTTAAAAGTCAGATTTGATATGTTAGTATGTATGCAAGTAACTTAACATAAATTTCATGTTCTTTTACCCTCTCTCCCACTAACACACCAACTAGCTGATCAACAAGAGGCACGAACATTGCACTACGTGTCGAGAATCGTGTAACGATTGAATCCAAACTAAACGTGCGTAAACACCTTAGGGGTAAGTTTAAAGCTGTGTGGATTACCAAGAAGCTTGAAAGTTGAGTTTAAATATGAATATCCAATTTTAATCTTCACACTTGGTGTTACTTCTTTAGAACGAGCGTTTTATTGAAGTTAGTTAAAGGGCTACAATTTACAGCAAACAGTTGTATAAAACAAAGTAGAATGGTATGTGGAATTTCGAAATAATAAATACAGTACGACTGAATGCATAATATCCTCAGTCACCTATTTTCTATTAAATTTGGAACAGCCTTGGTAGGGTTTCTATGTAAAAAAATATCTGCATTACAAATATTTTGATTATATTGTGTATTCTGTCATTGACTATACACCTCTACTCTATGAATTGGGAAAGAGGTGTATGAACTCTATGAACTCTGTAGAGGTGTATAGTCAATGATTCTGTCCATGAACTATCATCAGGCAGAATAATTAATTGTTTATTTTAAAATCAGCCATTAAGATAGTGAAGCAAGTACGCAATAATTATGGTTTTACAGTAAAATACTAAATATATATATATATATATATATGTAAATTTATTTAGAATAAATATATATAAATTTATTTATTTATAGATGTAAAATAATAAAATATATATACAATTATTTAAGAAAGTATTATCCCACAAATCAAAAAGACTATCGGTTTGTTATTTTGTCTCTCTGCAGTCTGGCTGATTGAAAGCTTTATATTTTAAGGAAAACTAAATATATAAATTTACATAGTTGCACTGTTAAGAAAAAATTAAAGTTAAAAACAATCTTTACATATCTAGACATTCTCAGTTATTTTCAACTCAAAGTAAACCTTATTTGACGTAATAGTTTTTAATTCTGCCCATTTACTACTTTTAAGTGGTGAGTTATTGAAATAAAAAAGTTGGCGACCATTTTTAGTTTGAATCAGATTCCATTGAATCACTGGCTGTTGCCTCACTCGAGCAGAATATTTAAACATGTTCATACATAATAAAAATGTAAATGAAGCTTGGCTTTAAAGTCTGTTTGAATAATCCACTAATGAAAATGGATGGTTGGGGATTACCAGAAGTTTTGAGTGTTTATAAATTATTAATGTGTTTGCCGAAGGACTAACGTAGCCCATTTACTTTACTTTCGAATCGGTTTCAAAAGCTTTTGTAATTTATTTTTGAACGAAAGACGAGACAGTTTTGAATGTACTGAAAATAAAGTTGTCCTTTGAAGCGTGAGACTTGTTTTTAGTCATTTAACTAATTAAACCGTTTAATGAAATCCTCTCTTTGAGCTGTTCAATCAAATTCCAACTAGTATTATAAAAATCCTTTCACGTAATAATCTGGGCTTACAACATCACTCCGAAATGACTTTTTAATTCCGTTCAAGCAATCTTTCTTCACACGTTTCACATTAATTACCATTAATTAATTAGTTTGTCTGTGTTGCTGTATCAGCTAAAAATATTTGCACGGAATCAGGAGAGTATACATGTAAATCATATAAATAAATTGATAAGCAAATAGGTTTGTTCGTTTATCTGAGATTATTGCAACAACTTGGGAAAAGATACTTACCGAGGACAATGATGACGAAATTCCACTAGTGACATCTTGTAGTTGAGCATATCGCTACAGTATTTTCGCTCCTTAAATTTCATGAACGTATCTGACACTAACTTAACAGTTAAAGTTTTTACTCAGTAGGCTCCTGTTTATTAAATAACAATTCAAGTGGTTGCTAAATATTTGAATTTCTTTAATATTAAAATATGAAATATACATTAATATTTTAATCTGAAATGGCGAACGAACGAGCAACCCAAGCTATTATAACCTATTTGTTCAGGATTAAACTAAGTGTTTCATTTATTTATAAAAGCTTCAGAGACTAAACAAGTTAGTGTGTTGCCTCAAGAAATCCTCGGCAGATTTGATTAACATCATACTCAGTTGTTCATTTTAGGAAAAACTTACACTATCTTGAGGTATTTTGCAAGACACGCTAAGAAGTGTGTTTGTATTTGAAACCTCTATACAATTTTATTCACACATAACTACTACTCCATTAATTTGTTAAAATCCACTTTGATTTAGAAACATAAACACTACACTTGTTTTATTATTTATATTTTTACAGTAAATATGTAAAGGTACTATTTAAGATTGTAATATTCTCATCGTTTTATATATTAAAAGTGTATCCATCAATATTTCATTGATATCATCATCCAACTACCTGTTTTATTTACAAACGTTTATTCACTGTTTATTCAGAAACATTGGAAAACGTAATGGAGTCGGTGGAATGGCGCGTTCCACAATAGATAGGAACGTGAAGGGTTATTTAGCCCGTACCATTGAATAAACATCGCCTTCCAATAAAAGCACATTCAACTCCCGATAGGCGCTCATTCGACCCCGTCAGATTCATTGCGGCATCGCTCCACAACTTTCTGTGGTGACGATAACTTGGCTTGATGGGCCTATCTACTCTCGCAACCTAATTGAACTGCACTAAAACAAAAACATTCAATACACTAGCCACTAGCATTTCTGTTCTACTAAAACTATCTTTTATCAGACTGAATGATTGATGAATAGTCTTACATTAAACCACCAGGAAAATAAATTGTTGATTGCTTGAAACTCATTCTATAAACTAACAAAGCTCCTCATAAACTAAAGGTACCTACTCGTCAAGGCGCTTGTAATATTATCAATAGACTGTAAAGAGCAGAGGCTCATAGTTGGTTATAGCATTGACTGTACAAAGAATGTGTATAGTCAATGGTTATGGTACGTGTACAGTATTACTATCATGATATTATAATCGCATAAGCTTCTTACAGGTAAATACTCGTAATAATATCTTGAGACTATAAACTTTGGAAGTAGCCTATCTTAGAAGTTTTTTTAAAGAGTGTCTTAGATTTTAGAATAAGATAGTTTGAATTGAAATGAATCCCAAATTAATTGAGTGAATTAAGTCTGAAAATTGTCTTCATGTAAGGTACTGAACAACTCTTCAATATTTTTAATTATGCCTAATACATGTTCTGTCATGTTACTTTTCAATGATTATTATCAATTAATGTCTACAAACACGTATTTACTAAAAAAATTTATTTTGTCAAATAATTTTCCATTTAAAAAAATCTTAACGCACTTACAGCACGGTCTTTGATCAAATAGCTCTAAATCAGATTAAACTATGAATAACTTTTACTAGCTATGCACACACTGTAAGGATTTCACTATTAATCAATGTCTACATTAAAATATACATAAATACGTTGATAACACTGTATTACTAACAAAATTAAAGTTCTTTCTCGTGCTTTACCTAGTAAAATAAACATATTTTAATTGTGTATTTTTATTGTCAACAATGTGAAGTAAACTATACAGGTAAAAGTGTTTGATCAACTGTACACTGATCACAAAGTTGTTAAGAAGACCTTGTGACAAATGGATGTTGTGTCTCTCATTGATGATGTCTTATCCTGTAGGTGATTAGGAAGAAGAAAGTGGTGGAAGGGGGTAGGATACAGGAGGGTTAGGGGAGGAAACAGTTACCCAGACTGATGGATTCATTCAATTATTGCTCGGAAAGGGAACTGGAAGTGATTATTTAAGTGATAACAGAGGTTTTTATGTTACTGAAAAACTGAAAGTTGAAGGAATTCATCATTGAATCAGCTCTTCTTTTTCATACTATGTTTTTTTATCTATTACTTTTTAGAACAGACAACGTTATTTTTCAATTTTGAAACCAAACTGTAGTTGTGATATTTACCAGTTACAATACCATTAATTTAATTTTTTTTCAGTCCAACACTATCACGTCAATAACCTAATTCAATGTTGTATTTGCCAGAGTGACAGTGTATTAAATGAGATTGCATTTGGTTTCTAAGTTACCTGTAAAAGTCCTAAGGTTGTATGCATGTTTTTTGCTGATCGCAAAATTAACAGCTTCAAAATTTCCTGTGGAGGCGGCACTATGTTTGCCTATTTGGAATTATTTGATAGTTTTTTTCAAATATTTTTTTGATCAACATTGTCCATTTTCCTGTAAACTTGATATGATCTGATTAGGTATTGTGTTGATGTTCAGGATACAGGTGGTGGATGGTGGTAACCTAGCCATCCAGGATGTCAGAGAGGAGGACGAAGGACAGTACCAGTGTGTAGCCAAGAATACAGTAGGTCTCAGAGAGTCCACTGTAGCCATCCTCAAGGTTGATTATCTGATTATTGTGTTGATGTTCAGGATACAGGTGGTAGATGGTGGTAACCTAGCCATCCAGGATGTCAGAGAGGAGGACGAAGGACAGTACCAGTGTGTAGCCAAGAATACAGTAGGTCTCAGAGAGTCCACTGTAGCCATCCTCAAGGTTGATTATCTGATTATTGTGTTGATGTTCAGGATACAGGTGGTAGATGGTGGTAACCTAGCCATCCAGGATGTCAGAGAGGAGGACGAAGGACAGTACCAGTGTGTAGCCAAGAATACAGTAGGTCTCAGAGAGTCCACTGTAGCCATCCTCAAGGTTGATTATCTGATTATTGTGTTGATGTGCAGGATACAGGTGGTAGATGGTGGTAACCTAGCTATCCAGGATGTCAGAGAGGAGGACGAAGGACAGTACCAGTGTGTGGCCAAGAATACAGTAGGTCTCAGAGATTCCACTGTAGCCATCCTCAAGGTTGATTATCTGATTATTGTGTTGATGTGCAGGATACAGGTGGTGGATGGTGGTAACCTAGCTATCCAGGATGTCAGAGAGGAGGACGAAGGACAGTACCAGTGTGTGGCCAAGAACACAGTAGGTCTCAGAGAGTCCACTGTAGCCAACCTCAAGGTTGATGGTAAGTGGGAAAGCAAAAATTAGCGAAATATAGGGTCAATCAAAAGTCAAGACCCTTAAGTCATCTTTTTCTAAGTGGATACATATACAGAGATATATTTTTTGTGTTCCTTCAGTCTTAGCAGGAAGTTTCATTTTATGATTTGGAAAATGTTGAGTGTCCCTCAAAAATGGGTGATTTGGAGATTGGAGGGCAACTTAAATTTTACTAAGGTAAACCCCTTCAAGTGACACCTCATTTTGAAGTGTTTACAAAAACTTAAAGAATGGTGAAAACCAGAGTCCGCTATCTCTTCTTTATCCAAAATAGTAACCTGTCAAAGTTAAATGACGTCTACTCTTACATTAATTTTCTGGTTTAAAAAATTAGTTTTCCCTTCACTCTAATTTGTTCCTAAGTAAATATACAGAGATATCCTTTTGGTTGTCGTACAACCTTAGCAGGAAGTTTAATTTTAAGATTTTAAAAATGTTTACTGTCCCCCAAAAATGGGGTATATTGGAGGCAACTCAGAATTTTTAAATGTAAACCCCATTCAAGTGACACCTCATTTTGAACTGTTTATATAAACTTAAAGAATGCTTAAAACCAGAGTTTGCTATCTAGTCTCTATCCAAAACGTTAGCCAATATTATCATTACATTGATTTTTCTTATATTTTTAATGTGTTGACTTCAATACATTTGATGGGCTACCATTTTGGACAGAGAAGAGTTAGCAAACTCTGGTTTTCACCATTCTTTTTTGTTGTAACCTCATCAAAATGAGCTACCACTTGAAGGAGGTATACATTTAAAAAATTTTGGTTGCCCCCATAATCCCCCATTTTTGGGGAACACTCAAAATTTTTATAAAAAATAAGTCAAAATAAATCAGAAATATAACTTCCTGCTAATATTGAACGACCACCATAAGGTTATCTCTGTATATCCACTTAAAAGAGTATTAGATAGGGAGGTCCTTGACTTTTGATTCAACCTGTATAATATATTTTGTATTTTTTCTTCTTGATGCTGTTATATTAGTTTAGTATAAAAGTTGTACAGTATTATTTTCGGATATCATCACTGGCCCTACTACTATAGTATATTTCGTCAGTAGGGCGCAAAGTGACTCTTTTCAACCAGAGTTCAAGTTTCATGACTTAAAAGGTCAAAAAATGAGGGATGGTTGAAAAGACACTTCAGTACTTACTGTCAAATTGCTCTGAATGTAGAGTCACGAGACACCCTGTAGTGAGTGAATTATATTAACAGCGAACAATATTTTACATAATACATTGTTCTATTTATAAACTTACTTATAAACTCAAGTACCATTTTAGGTTGTGAGTTGTATTGAACATCACATACAGCACAAATACAAATTTACTTTATTTTGGTATAATAAGGTGCGTTTAAATTTACTATTTATTTGTCCTATGCTTGACACAGTGCGTCCGTTCCTGATCCAAGGCCCCCAGGACGTGACAGTCCAAGTGGGTGGCACAGTGACGTTCACCTGTGTGGTGGGCGGCGACCCTCTGCCTGACGTGATGTGGCGCCGAGGAGGCGGCAACATGCCTCTGGGACGTGTCACTGTACTACAGGACCGCAGCCTCAAGATACAGTCTGTCACGGTAGAGGACCAGGGCGAGTATGTGTGTGACGTAGACAACGCAGTAGGGAGTCTTGTGGCCAGCGCTGTGCTCACTGTACACTGTAAGTGCTCAGTTGTATACTTTGAGAGTAGAAAGTACTGTCATGGGTTCCCTAGTTTATGAATAGGGGACTACTGGGACTACTATTTGTGCTCAACATTTTGACAATCCCTAAATTTTGTATGTAAAAAATCTATGAAACGTATAAAAACATTATAAAATAACCATAATTAATTAATTAGTTAATTGTTAATAAATTATACTATTTCTACATTAACTGTTTCCAAGATAAAATAGAGCTTGTTGATTTAGTAAGTATGTTGGATGTAGTCCATTTATACGATTGTGACAACCCTGCTCCTTCAATTACAACTAACTCTATAGTAGTGCTTTGGTCTGTTTAAGCATTTTAGTCACTTCTGCTCAGTCCAATAAATGTTTTGTCTATTTAAATAATCATTCTAGACAATCAAAACTTGGTTTAAAAAGTCAAAGGTATCCTATTAATGTTCCCAAAATTACTTCGAATTTTAGTACAGTGTGAATCAAATAAAACGTGTGTTTTTTGTCAAATAAAAATTATTAGAATATATTTTTTATGCTTACTTGCCAGCCTTGCAAGACACATGGACATGATTTGGCTCTAAAGCCTGGTTTACATTGGTCGAGTAAGCTCGGCCGATTTGGATCGGCCCACATACTTGGCCAAGCTTACTTGTTTTAGAAAAGTGGGTTTACATTGCTAAAGTTAATTCGGCCAAGATGACTACATAAGTTTTGATGATTACATGTACAGTTGTGTAAATTATACGTAAACTACCCCGTAATATACGTGTTACATTTTGAAGGTGCTTGAAAAGGGTGTATAATTTGTTAGTAGAGGAGGTTGATGAATTGGTGGAAGAAGAAAGAAATAGGAAAATGGGAAAGTTAAGTTGGGTTGTATGTAGACCTCATGTTTTTAATTTTCTTTTTCCAACTTTTTTTAACTTATTTTTTTAACTCTATGTTTCCTCTTCTGTCTTATATTCAAGTCAAAATATTATTTATATCAATTTTAAAATAACAAAAAGACGAATAAGATTAAAAATTGCTCAACATTGGTCGAGTGGCTGTCTCTTGGCATAAACTACTCGACTCGTCCGCCAGCTGGGTCTGTCACTCGACTCGCTTGTCACTCGACTAGTTAAATTGTCTACACTGGTCAAGTTGATGGTAGAATACTAGCTCGCCTTTCTAATCTTGCCCTTCTGCTCGACCAATGTAAACTAGGCTTAAAGGTCCCCTGCTCATTTATTTGGGTCTTGGGGTTATTGGGCCTGAGAAAAGTTCATAGCTTCTTAGTGGTTTGAAACTGAACCCAGCTCAGCTGTCCTCGATCACTGAGCTTTTATACTCAAATATATCCTTTGTTAACTTATTTATGGGTAAGATAGGTGAAGTTTTTTTTTAATTGATAACTCCAAAATATTATTACTGTACCAACTTATCAAGCATTTTAACTACTTTTAAAACCATTTTTGCTAATTATATGATGTGTGAGACAGCTCCGCCTGTGATCCTGATCCAGCCAGCTGACCAGGAGGTAGAGGAGGGGAGGGAGGCCATGTTTGTTTGTGGAGTGGAAGGCAAGCCAGAGCCTGTGTTGTTCTGGAGCCTGGAGGGTAACCACAGTCTGGTGTTCCCAGGGGAGACTCAGGGTAGACTTAGAGCTGCCTTGAACTCTGCCGGACACACTGTCCTCATCATTCAGGTAGGCCTACTGCATATGAAATACAGGTGTTACAAATGTTTTAAATTTATCTCAACAGTTCACTTATTCACTTACATGTAATCTAATAATTTACAATTCCTAAAGGAGATATGTAAAGGGTGTTTACCCGAAACGGGACTTTTGTGAAGAGTATTGAACGATACTTTTCATCACAATGAATAAAAAACTACTTCATCAAACAAAACATTATAGGTAACTTTGTTGATGTCAGGCAAAGTATTGTTTGTGTAGCGAAAGTAATGTTTATGTCAGGAAAAGTCAGCTGATCACTATTTGTTTTTGGTGTATGGAAATTGGCGATTTTCAAAGATCTCAGCTGATGTATGGAAATGGGTTATTTTTTAATACAGGGTGATGAAATAGTTATTTGTGCAACTAGTGAGCAAAGGGAACAATTGACTCACTCAAGAGAAATACTTACTCACGAGCCGTAGGCGAGTGAGGAATGGTTTCTTGAGTGAGGCAATTGCACTTTGCACTCGAGTTGCACATTATATTTTTCCTACAGTTACCATAAAACAAATAAATTGGTAAAGAAACGACATATTTTTACACAGAAGTGAACTTTTAATACATTTAATAACACAACAGTACAACAGCTGACCAGCTGGATTTACAGCCAGTGCTGCCAACGTATTTCGTGCGCATACGATCTTGTCTGCATGTTACCCGCTCACTATTTCCTGCCTTCACGTTGCAAATCTGGAGTGAGTGAGACAAAGTAATTAGAGTGAGAAACATTGTCTCACTGATGAGCGAATTGGCCACTTTGCTTTCTCAAATCAGTGAGAGAACATGTACATTGTTAGGTAACTGTAGGAAAACTGTATTTTTCTAATCATAATTTTCTTTCTCTTGTATATTTTTACTGCTGTGTCCATAAACCTTAAAAACAAAACCATGATACTACTTTCTTTAAACTTTTATCTAGTACCAAGCTAAACTCTTAATTGTGTACATTTTTTCTTATTGTATGACCTAAATTTTAATGTAATCCTAAATTTTATGATTTACTGGTACTTCTTGACATTTGTGGGGATTTAACTAATAATTTTGTTCACAGGATGTACAAAGAAACGACAGTGGACTCACAGTGATGTGTGCTGCAGTCAATTCAGCAGGTAAATACAAATCATAAAACTAGAATGTGTATGAAATTGGGTTGTAAAATGTGAATGATACTTATGAATACACACTGTAAAAAGGTAGACTGAAAACACGCAGTTATATACTGTACTTGGTAGTTATTCGTTTTCAGATTTGAGTTTAGTCTCATCTTAGCCTATTTTATATTTGGCATTTGCAAGTGAAGGAACCTTCTATTTATACAATTTTTGGATACATTTGCTTAAGTAAGTTACATTATTTAGTCATATTTTTAACTGACACAGCTAGGGTTTCAGTTTTGAATGATTCGATTATTGACAAAACCTGTGACAATCAGGTTCAGATGTTCTGCGAGCACGCCTGACAGTGACATCTCCTGAGCACCTACCTCCGCCTGTCATAGAGCTCGGCCCCGCCAACCAGACTCTGCCACTACGAACCTTGGCAGTGCTGCGATGTCTGGCCTCTGGCAGCCCCCCACCTATCATCACCTGGTACAAGGGTGGAGTCCCCGTCACCAAGGGCCATGACAGGATCAACATCACGGAGACTGGCACTCTGGTGATCAATGGTATGTTTGTGTTTTAGTGAGATTCCCTATAGATAAATGGCTCGGCTGTTGCCATAGTCTTCATCGAACAGCATTTGAACAGTTTTGAACTTTTTTGTAGTTGAACTGTTCGACTGTTCTGACCTAATCTGGAATTTGTTCAATATTAATATAAGTTACTTACCATATGGTTGACCTCAGTAACCATGGTACACTTTTGCCCTCTTTGTTCCACGGCCCTCAGAAGTCAAAAACATAATTTATTCCAATTTTACAAATGCAGCACAGTTTCGCTACTCCAAAGCTCGAATAGCGAACATTGATAATGACATCTCAAAGAACAGTGAAAAATTCAGCAATATCTCGAATGTCAGCAAAATTTGCATTGTTGCTGCAAATGGTGGAGAATCTGACAATGATACCTCAAATGTCGGCAAAGTGTGTTTGTGGTGTGTCCATGAACAATACAAAAGTTTTTATTATGTACAGTAAAATATTGCAGAAACATTATTGCCAGTTTGTCGCCTGTGATAGTGACAATGATTGCAACATTGTCATAATCATTCTTGATCAACATATTTGCCATCGTAGCTATATAAAAGTCAACTGCGATTACAACAGTGTAGTCTTTGATACGTTGATACTATTAAGACATTTTCTTATTCCCAACACCCATCACAAACCCAAACCGGTTACGGACCCAGTTAGTTCAAAATAGCGAGACCGTATTGTACATATCCTTACATTGACAAACTACATTATTCAGGGCCGTATTTACCTAAAGGCGGACACAGCGGTTCCCGGGGGCCCCTTAGCAGGGAGCCTCACTTGGGGCCTCAATTTTTTTTCTTGATAAATTTATTTCACCGATAATCTGTTTTGCGGGGGATGTCCGGGCTCGCGCAAGACGCTAACTATTTATTCGAGGCCACAAACACTTTCATGATTTCACGCGATCGATGAAGACGAAGATGGCGTCTCGGCGTCTCCACGCTCGCGATGGGCGCAAACTATTTCTCCGCAGCCATAGGAGACGTTCATGACTCCACCGTGATCGGAGGAGACGAGGATGATGTCTCTATGATCGTTCACTTTTGCGGATTTCCCGTGAACGTAGAATTTGTTCATGATCCCTCCACGACCGCGGCAGATGCAGATGTCCACGATTTTACTGTGACCGCAGAAGACCCTTACAATTATTTACTACATAGTCCGCACTATTGAGTACTACAACTTTCCTAGATAATTAGATCCTAGATAATTAGACCAATTTGTTAATGCCAAGGCAAAAATGTGGTTCGGATTTCACTATGAACTGCAGGTCCTTTAGTTGCCATTAGCTGTATGGGCTATTAATTAACCGCTGTGTCTAAGGAATATGCTGGCCTTAGTCACTAACAAGACTACAAACCACATCACTCATCCTACACTCATCCTTCACTCATATTTGGCTTAAAATACATACTTTGTATGGTCCCCATTTCAATGAAAGAGTATTAAAAGTATTTCGCCGCAATCCCAGATTTTGTATAAATCGATTATAGTATATTAATTAATATATTTTAAATGAATTATTTCTGAGACTACCCGATTTTTATCCGATGCCCAAAGATTAAGTGGCGCCGATCGAAGACCTCTTATAATACAAGTATTATAAAAAAAATAAGAGACTTTTTATTTTATTATCTAGACTCCAGGTCTTTATGCCGATCAGATTGATGAAAACAAAAGGCCAAATCGTGTTGAACCATAGGTACTACGTGTATTTTTACCCTTAACATTCTGTAGAATCAGAATATGCCCCTCTGGTGAGAGCCGCCAATGATGATTTAGCTCATTGATTCCAAATACAGCCCTGACAATATTTAAATTTTGATTATGAAAATATAACTAACCCTATACTGTTCAGTGATCATCTAGCAACCAGATGTCTAATGGGTGGTTTTTAACACAACTATCATTTTTATGGGTAATATTTTATAAGTTACTAGAGGCTAAAATATTTATATTGCAGCGTTAAAATAAATATCATTAAATTATAACATAATATACTAAAATTAATATCAGTGAAAACATAGGCTAAGTCGAATTAATAATGCCATAGATAAAACATACTAAAACATACTCCCTTAGTAGATTTCTCATCCTTATGGAACAGCTGAAGACAATTTTATTATTGTTAGTTCATGTACGGTTTATGCAGAGGTCGTGTTTTGTTTACAATTTGTTTCCCGTTATTACAGCCCTTTAAAACCGTTTAAAATCGTTTAACCAAATAATACGATCTAATCATAAACAATAACTTGTCCCCTAGTTATATAACCAAACAGTAAAGCACAAATCAAGAAATTAACCCTAAAATAATGGAAACAAAGTTTCATCGACACTAGCGCCTTTGTGTCACGTACATGAACTAGACACGAAAAACGTGCTTCAAAATTTACAATGGGATGAGAAGTCTACTTGTGTTGGTTAGTCTATGATAATGCCTATTATTACCTATAACACCCAAAATCTAGTGTTAAAATGTTTGTAGCTTGTGGCAATTTGTTGAGTTGTAAACAATAGCATTGCCTCTTTGCTCCAAAATAATTTTTTTATCAATTTAGCTACATATGGTATTGTTAACCCTTAGAGTGCCAGGCGAGAAATAAAAGTAACGCTCAAAAAATGCCGATGATTTTTCCCGAAGGTCGCGCTAAAAATGCCGAGCGCGATCTGGCGATTTTTAGGTTAAAATTTCGTAAAAATCGAATTTTCGATATTTCGACCAACGAAAATCGATGTATCGCATCTAGCAACTTTCGACTCAATGTTAATATATGGGTTAAAAGAATCCGAGTATTTATTCGGTTGTTATGACAGCTGTTCGATCATTACGAAACGTCCGGTCAGCCGGACGTTGGCACTTTTGGCTCGTTCTAAAAACGTCCGGTCGGCCGGACGTTGGCACTTTTGGCTCGTTTTAAAAACGTCCGGTTCCCCGGACGTTGGCACTCAAAGGGTTAATAAATACACCTTACTTACAAAAATAAATTATTAATTCAACGGCATTTGCTATCAGTTTCAAGAATCCAAGCAGGTTAAATCTCAACTGAAGTTAATAGCATAGCTGGTAGTAGCAAAACAACTTTAACAAAGAAATATGTTACCAGACACTGTTGCGAGTGACGAAGGTGTGTACACTTGTGTTGCATCGTCGCGAAGTGGTAAAGCAACATGGAGTGCTATCTTGAAGCTGGAGTCACGCACAAACCCAAATGCTCACTTCTTCCGAAGCCCAGAACTGACAACATTACCAGGACCTCCCAGTAGACCAGTCATAGTCAACACAACCCACAACAGTATCACGGTGTCCTGGATAAGGAACAACAAAATCGGATCTTCCTCTCTACTGGGATATCAGGTATGAAGTGTAGCCTAGACTATAATAAGTTGTTAGTGTTGGAGTTACAACATCATCCAATTTACTTATTACCTGTTTTATAAAATCATATGTTATAGCCTATATCTAGTTTTGTTTTGATTATAAGAAAATAAAAGTTATTATTGTGTGAGTGTTATTAAAGAATAGTTGATTCAATTTTAACAGATTATGAGACTCAATTAAGTGAGGAATATGGAAAGAAATATGAGTAATCACATTGAACTTTTGAACAGAAATAATTATGACACATGGAAAATGCAGATGGAAGCAGTTTTAGTTAAAAATGATTTACTTGGGTATGTGTTAGGAACCATTAAAAGGCCTCTAGAAGAAGGTGAAAGAATGACTGCTTGGCTAATCACTGATGCAAAGGCAAAGGCAGATATAATCCTCTCTATCAGCCCAAGCGAATTAAAGCAAGTGAAAGGATGTAACACTTCAGCAGAGATATGGGAAAAATTAAAAGGCATTTATGATTCCAGTGGACCAGCAAGGAAAGCCTTTTTGTTAAAGAAGCTAATTTTGGCAAAACTGACCCCTGATTATGATGTCAGAGATTACATGAATATGTTTTTTGGTGTAGTGGACAAATTAAAAGGAATGGACATCGATATTAATGAGGATCTTTTGACAATTATTCTTTTGTATTCCCTGTCAGATGAATTTGAAAACTTTAGAATTGCTATTGAAACTAGAGATGCACTGCCTTCTCCTGAAACTTTGAAAATAAAAATTGTAGAAGAGTGGGAAGCGAGAAAAGAACATGGTAAGAAAGAGAGTAGTGAAGCTCTGCTAGGAAAATTTCAGAATAAAGTTAGATTTCAACCAGGAAGATTTTCAAAAGACTCTTATAGAAATAGAACGGAATCAGTTGATTTTCCGTTTCGATGCTTTATATGTAAAGCGATCGGGCATAAAGCAAAATTTTGTCCCAAAGCAAATAAAGATCAACAAAACGTAGCGATTGCTAAGCTAGAAGAAGTAGGACTTAATTCTTCTGTACAAGATGACTGTTATTTTGGAAACTTGTCAATGAAAGATATACAGTGGTGTTTGGACAGTGGATGCACTTCACATATGACTCATGTGAACAGTAAATTTACCAAGTACAAGCCTGTAAATGGAAGAAGTATATCTCTTGCCAACAATTCATCAACTGATGCAAGAGGGGTTGGAACAGTTAATATGAACATTTTAAATGGGAGTACAAATCTAAGCGTTAATTTGTATGACACTTTGTATGTACCAGAACTTCGAACAAATCTGATGTCTGTAGCTAAAATTACTGACCATGGGTATCAAGTTTTGTTTAAAAAAGATGCTGCTTTGATAATAGATCAGAATGGACAGACAAAGATCCATGCGAATAGGTTAAATGGACTTTATTACGTACAAGAGAGTAGTGAAGAAATGAATATAAGCTGTGAAAAATCAAGTCTATTGTCTTGGCACCAACATTTTGGACACTTGAACTTTGGAGACTTGAAAAGAATAATCAATTTAAATATGGTTAAAGGTATTAAAGTGAACACAAAAGAGCTTATTCCACAATGCGAGGTGTGTATTCAAGGAAAATTTACAAAAAGACCCTTTCCTAAAAGTGAAAGAACATCTGAAGTGCTGGACATTATTCACTCTGACATCTGTGGACCAATGAAAACTGAGTCACATGGAAAATCTCAATATTTCATTACTTTTATTGATGATAGCTCAAGATGGGTTGAAGTTTACTTTTTGAAGAAGAAAAGTGATGCATTAGATTCTTTCAATAGGTACAAGAACAAAGTAGAAAATTTTACAGGAAGAAAAATTAAATATCTTCAAACAGACAATGGAGGAGAGTATGTTAACAGAGAGTTCGATGGATTTTTGAATTGTAATGGTATTCAGAGAAGATTAACATGTAGCGGAACGCCTCAACAAAACGGAGTGGCTGAACGGATGAATCGTACATTAAACGACATGGCAAGATGTTTGCTCATTGAAGCAAATCTTCCTCAAACGTTTTGGGCAGAGGCAGTTGCAACAGCAGCTCATGTTAGGAATAGATGCCCATCAGATGCAATCGATGGTGTATTACCATATCATAGATGGTATAGGAAAATTCCAAATGTTTCATATCTAAAAAAGTTTGGTTGTAAAGGTTTTATCCTAGACAAGACAAATGACAAGTTTCAATCAAGAGCAAAAGAAGGGATATTTGTTGGTTACTCAGATGTATCAAAGGGCTGGAGGATGTGGTTACCCGAAGATAGGAAAATCATTACAACTCGAGATGTAGTTTTTGACACATCTTCCTTTCCACATGTCGATGCAAATCATACTAATTCAAGCTTTAGGGTATTGCCTGTAGACAGTTTACTCCAAAGACATGAAAAGGTCGAAGAAAATCAAAGAAGTGTTCAAGTTGATCAACCAAAAGGTACAGATGAGAAAAATGTACTTGATGATAGGCAAACATTAACAAATGAAACTAAAGAACATATGTCAAATGAAATGGAAGAGATTGAACATGACGAGCCATATATGATTGATGGGGATAATAATGGAGATGATCATCAGAATAATGATATTAACTTGAAAGTAAGAAAATCTGAAAGAAAAACAAAAGGTGTTCCTCCTAACAGACTATCATTAATAGCTCAAGGAAATGTGATTGAGCCAAAATCTTGGAAACAATTGGAGAAATTGCCTGAACCTGAGAAAAAACAATGGGTTGTAGCAGCTCAAGAAGAAATGGAAGCCTTATTAAAAAATGATACATGGGAACTTGTAGATTTACCTCCACAGAAAACAGCAGTTGGATGTAAATGGATATTTAAAGCAAAGTATGGAGATGACGGTATGGTTGAGCGCTATAAGGCACGTTTAGTAGCCAAAGGTTACTCACAGAAATATGGAGAAGACTATGATGAAATATTTGCTCCTGTTGTTAATTCAACAACAGTAAGAATTTTACTAACCATAGCAGCGACAAAAGATCTGACTGTGCATCATTTTGATGTAAAAACAGCCTTTTTAAATGGAAAGTTAGAAGAAGAAATATATATGCAACAGGCCGAAGGTTTTGTGAAATCTGATAATGAAGATAAAGTTTATAAATTAAAGAAATCAATTTATGGGCTAAAACAAGCAGCTCGGGCCTGGAATGAAACACTGAATACAACAATGATGAGCATGGGATTTGAAAAAAGCAATTCTGACCCTTGTTTATATACGAGTAATACTGATGGAAATTATACATACGTAGTGGTTCATGTTGATGACATTTTGTGTGTTGGATCAATTGAAAATGTCAAGAAAACATTTCAAAAACTGACACAATGCTTTGAAATGAAAGACTTAGGAGTTGTTCACAACTACTTAGGAGTTGAAATTGATAAGATGGATGGAGACTTTTACATTCACCAAAGAAGAAAAATAAATAAAGTCATAATTGAACATGGGCTGGAAAACAGTAAACCAGCAAGGACACCAATGGAAGTTGGATTTATCAACTCAACAGCTATGTCACCAGATCTGCCGGATAACAAAATGTACAGGAAGGCAATAGGATCACTTCTTTATCTTGCTGTGACATCAAGACCGGATATTTTGTCAGCAGTTGGAATTCTAGCTAGACGAGTTGAAAAACCCACCCAAAGTGATTGGAATGCTGTAAAGCGAATAATAAGATATCTGAAAAGTACCATTGACAAGAAATTAAAATTAGGGGTGGAAAAAGAATTGAAATTGTCATGCTATGTAGATGCTGATTGGGGGGGTGACTTAGCAGATAGAAAATCAATCAGTGGAATGATGTACAAGTTAGGAAACAGCACTATAAACTGGATTAGCAAAAAACAGACCAATGTCACTCTTTCTTCAACAGAAGCTGAATTCATGGCCGCAAGCTTAGCCACTCAAGAAGTAGTGTGGTTAAGACTATTGTTGAAAGATATGGGCTTCCCCCAAGAAAATCCTACAGTAATATTTGAAGACAATCAGAGCTGTATCAAGTTTATTGAAAATGAAAAGATGAGTGCCAGAATAAAACATTTAGATATTCGAAAACATTACGTCCGAGAAATGATAAATAAGAACGAAGTATTTCTGGAATACTGTCCAAGTGAAAATAATCAAGCGGACCTTTTAACAAAGCCACTTCTAGGGCAAGTGTTTAAAAGATCACTCTTTTACCTAGGACTTTACTAGGCATGATGTTGAGAGGGTGTGTTGGAGTTACAACATCATCCAATTTACTTATTACCTGTTTTATAAAATCATATGTTATAGCCTATATCTAGTTTTGTTATGATTATAAGAAAATAAAAGTTATTATTGTGTGAGTGTTATTAAAGAATAGTTGATTCAATTTTAACAGTTAGCAAGCTTTTTATAAGGTGCATAGACAAGTTTATGATGCTCCAACATTGAATATAAAAACATTTTTAATCAAAAGATTTTCCCCTCAACATTTTGACTGTGTTGTAAAGTAAAAAAAGTAAGTTTCTTCAAAAGAGTAAGATTGATGGAACAGTATACTGTAGTAACATTATCGTTGTGGCAAAACTTTACTAGAGTTAAGTATAATGAACTCTTGTTTTTTATCATTACAGTAGGATACTTTAAAATGATTACTGTAATCAAACATTACATATGCTACGCAAAATTTTGCATAGCATATGTAATCTTTGCTGTAATCTAAAAATAAACGCTATTGCAAGAGTAGTGGAAACGCTGCAAAATTAGTCAAAAGGACTATTACTGGTGTTTAGGCTACTTTCCAATTTCACTTATAATCTTTAAATGTACAGTATACAGTATAACAACATAGACCAAGAGGATTACCTGTAAACTAAACTGAATGTGCCCAAAAGGCTTTTATAGAGTGGGACCAAGTCTGGGAGACCGATGCCAGATTATCAAATGTGTTACAATAGAGGGATTTTACTGTAGTTGGCTGACTGTCTGTCTTGTGTTTGTCTAGGTGGAACTGTTCAGTAGAGACCCGAATGCGTCAGGTCGCAGTGGAGGAGGTAGTGGCTGGGTGGTGGTGGCTAGAAGAGTCCCAGGACCTACATATACCCAGACACACCTGGGACCTGGGTTGCTGTATACCTTCCTGGTAAGGGCGGAGAACTCTCATGGCCTCTCTCCCCCCAGCCCCCCGTCCACCCCCACTGTGCTGTCACTGGGGGTGAGAGGTGTGGAGGGAGGTGACCATCAGTTGAAGGAGGCGCAGGCTAGCCTGTCCGCTGGACATGTGGTGGAGCTGACTGCCATACAACCCACTAGCGCTACATCCATCAAACTGGCCTGGGAGGTAGGTTCTAAGGTGTTGATCAATATAAAACCTTGTACAGTTTTTCAAACCAAAATTTCAGGTTTACCCATTAGAAAAGAAACATTTTTCAATCAAATGCTTTTGACTGTGATTGCTAACTTGCGTTAGCATGCTTCAATAATCAGTACATTATTTTACTTCATTTGCCTTAGTTTTTGTGATAGATTGACTCATCGCTGTATGTTCTCTTTGCAGATTGTCAATGCGGACTTTGTGGAGGGTTTCTACATTTACTCTCGCTCACTTGACTCACATCTCAAGTCCACAAACATGCTAACCGTGCTGCATGCCGGCGAGGCCTCAGGTTTCCTTGTCACTGGCCTTAGGCCATTCACGAGATACCTCTTCTTCCTGATCCCCTTCTACAAGAACGTCGATGGGAGGCCATCAAATTCCAGAAGTGCTAGAACAATGGAGGACGGTGAGTGAAATTTTTCATCAATGTTTTAGGCCAGGAGTTCCTTTGATTGTAATTCCTCAGAAAACGTTGACATATTTGTTTTAACATTTTATCGCAAAATAATGTGTTTAGAAAAAGTGTTTGTTGAACTGTTCTAAGTAAGTTCAAAATAAGATCTTTAGTTGTTTTTGTATGATTGAAACATTATTTGTATAGTTCTATATTTATGATGTGAAAAGCGAACTAAAATAATCTAAAATACTAGCGGAAATTTTCAATTTTGAGTTACAGTGCTGTATATATATACAGTATTTGAATTTCTTATTAAATTCCGAATCACTTGGTGCAAGTCTCATGCATCTAAGATTTTTTTTTGTTAAAGTTAAAGGACTTTAAAATTTTGTTATGAACAAATTTCATTTGAGAAAAACTATTTTAAAAATTTCAAATACACATAAAAACAGTTTTTCCGTATTTAAGAAACGATTTTGGAGAAAGATTATAATGTCCTCTTTAGAGGCAATACCAAGGTGTAGTTTTCATTTAAATAATTGTTTTATCGAAGCATGGTGTAAAAATCACATTTCAGAAAAGGGACCTCTTGTCGGCCCTTTGTTATGTATTCCTCCATAAGATAAAAAAAGATACCTCTTGTTGGGACCGCAAAATTTGTGAGATATTTTGTTCTCCCTAAACTGAACTTGGTTGTAGTTCTCTAAATTTCCACTAGAATGCAGGACAATTCATTTTATGGACTAAAGTCTGAAAGTGAAGATGTCAGTCTGTAAAGTGAATATTAGAAATGAGACCGTCCTTATGGGGAAATAACTTTGAGCGAAAAGAGGTACCTTTTCTCAGACCATGCAGAGGCTAACAAAATGATTTATTTCAACCTTTTACATCTTCAATTCAATACTTTGACCGATACTGTCCTGTTCTATGTTAAATAAGGTATAACAATCGACAAAAACCTGAATTTCGATATTTTCAACCTTAATTAGTTATCGGCCGTACTAAAAATTTTACATTGCCGACAAGAGGCCCCTTTTCGCTTTCCACATCACATTTTGTGTAGAGACTATGGTGTGTTGTAAAAATGAGCAGTATTTTAAACAACAGTTTTATTTTACAGTGGTGTTTTATTTGGTGTTTGAAACCTATATTTCAGTGCCCACGGAGGCTCCTCGAGACATGGAGGCGGTGCTTCTTAACTCCACGGCTGTTTTCCTCAAGTGGAAGCCTCCTCCACCTCACTCCTGCAATGGTGTATTGCGCTCATATCAGGTAATGGTGTATTGCGCTCATATCAAGTAATGGTGTATTGCGCTCATATCAGGTAAAGGTGTATTGCGCTCATAACAAGTAATGGTGTATTGCGTTCAGATCAAGAAATGGTGTATTGCAATCTGATCAAGTAATGGTGTATTGCAATCTGATCAGGTAATGGTGTATTGCACTCTGATCAGGTATTGGTGTATTGCGCTCATATCAAGTAATGGTGTATTGCAATCTGATCAGGTAATGGTGTATTGCACTCTGATCAGGTATTGGTGTATTGCGCTCATATCAAGTAATGGTGTATTGCGTTCAGATCAAGTAATGGTGTATTGCAATCTGATCAGGTAATGGTGTATTGCAATCTGATCAGGTAATGGTGTATTGCGCTCATATCAAGTAATGGTGTATTGCAATCTGATCAGGTAATGGTGTATTGCACTCTGATCAGGTATTGGTGTATTGCGCTCATATCAAGTAATGGTGTATTGCGTTCATATCAAGTAATGGTGTATTGCAATCTGATCAGGTAATGGTGTATTGCACTCTGATCAAGTGGTTCACTGTCCCTGTTACCACTCAGCTTAAACATTTACTTTGGTTTCTGAAGAATACATCCCATCCATTTTACCATCAATTTTATCCGGTTTTTTACTCACAGAGAACATGGTTGGACAGCTTCTTGTAGAATCTGCCCCAACTAAAGTTCTATTTAATTAAGTAATTTTTCATACTATGATACTTTAAAGGGAGAGTACAATTTTCCATAGATAATCACAAGAGTCATTTCAGTTCAACTAGATTAAATTAAATTTTGCGAATAAGAAAGATTGCAATATTTTATACTGTAGGTGGTGGTGAGAGCAGGTCATCTGGTACTCAGCAACATCAGTGTGCCTGCTGATACTCCCTCTCTGCTGCTGACCAACCTCACAGCAGGGGTGGTGTATGTGGTGGAGGCAGCGGGGGCCACTAGGGTAGGGGCAGGGCCTTACACTGCCCCCGCCACACTCAGACTAGACCCATCTATGCCTTACAACAGGTCAGTGGCTTAGCATTGGTTTGGAAATACCAACTAATGTTCCCATATTAGTGGCACTGAAGATTAATCTTTTCTTTTAGATAGATCCCAACTATTTTAATTTTTGGAAGAAAACATAGTACTACATATGAATAGAAGCCCAGATCTGATCATATCTTTAGTAAAATACAAATACTATGGATAAGGTTTATTACAATACTGACCACAAGCATTGTATTATTTGTAACTTCTCAACCATTTAAATTAATCAGAGTTAAGCTAGAGTGTCTAAATTTCCTGAAAAACTAGGATTGAGCCAGTTGTTTTTGTTATTTTTATCATAGTATACGTGTTTAGAAAAATTGTCTCTGGACCCTAAAACTTTCCAGAAGAATACAAACCATTTATATGTACGCATATAAAATTTGTATGGAATTATAAAAACGGTTTATTTATTACTGGGCGTATTTGGGCTAGGGACAGGAGATCCAGCAGGGACAGTAATAGGGGTCCGGGCTTTTCCGGGGATGATTTGACCACCCTAAATTATACACCAATTTTTATCAAAGTGGTTTTAATCACACAGTCAGACAAGAAAAGTAAAGGTTTTTGTTTTTATAAACCATTAACACTATCCTAAGGAATTAATAGTGTTAACAATTATTTTTTCTATCCTGTAAATAAATTACTCCACCTACAATGATTCACTTCTGGGCAGCTGATTGGTTGTAGTGCTTGCCTAACAATCAAAAGGTTGCCGTTTCAATCCTGAGAAAAGTCAGTTGCTTTTTTTTGTTCGAAAATGGACCCAGCTGTCCCTGATCATAGTGCTTTAAATAAACGATCCTACTGGTTAAACAGCTGATATTAGTCAGTCAGCAACAAAGCTACACAGATCATCTCACACCATTCTACACTCATCCATCGCTCATATTTTTAGTTTACAAATACACACCAAGGCGGCATCTCCATCTCAATAATTAATTGATAATGATGATGATAATTTCGACAGTGTTCCTTTGGTGTGTATGTAAAATAAAAATGTTGTTTCCAAGCTACTAAAACCAGCTTTTATTACTGTCTAAATCAAAACAAAGTAACCATATATTGTAAACTTTTCCCAGAAGGCCAGTAGGATTGGAGAGTCCTGTTGCGTCCAGTTCAGAGTTTGTGACAGAGACTTGGTTTGTAGCCTTGCTTGGCTCACTGCTCACTGTCATGTTGCTCATGTTCGCTGCCATGCTCATTGTCAGGAGGCGGCAACTTCTCGCCAAAAAAACAAATTTGCCAGGTATGTTTATATAGTAAACAAAAACAACCTAAGAATATATAGCTTAACAATTTTAGGAAGGTGAGTATTGCCCCTGGAAGATTTGGAGGACATTACATTGCTATTGGGCCTGCAATAATTATTAAATTGTTAAATTAATCAAAATTAAACAATGTAAAATCTTTTACAACACATATATTTCAAATGATAATAATAGTATATTTCACTACTAGTCACGAAAGTGACCCAGTGACATGCGAGTCGAAGACGAGATGGGGAAACAGTATCGAGCCCCGAAATGGGACTTCATGACGAGTATTGAACGATACTTTTTATCACAATGAAAAAAACCATGGTACTTCATCAAACTTAAAAAATTGTCTGATATTTCGTAATCTATTCATTTTTCTAATCCAAACACAATACGGCTGTACAATTAATTTTAATGTCAAATTCAGCTGATTCTGTTAATAAAAATTGTAGTTAAATATAAATCAATTTTCTGTTATGTATTTTTAATTAAAACAAAATGGTGCTCGCTCGGGAACTTCAGGTGTAACTTTGTTGATGTCAGGCAAAGTATTGTTTGTGTACTGCGAAAGTAATGTTTATGTCAGGAAAAGTCAGCTGATCATTATTTGTTTTTGGTGTATGGAGATTGATGATTTTCAAAGATCTCAGCTGTATGGAAAAAATGGGTTATTTTCGAATACAGAGTGACGAAATAGTATATTACGTTACTAGTCCTGAAAATAGGTGTTTGGCGGACGAGTGTGGTCGTTCCCGTGCGAGACGAAGTCGAGTACGGGATTACCATACGAGTCCGGTAAACACATTTAGGACGAGTGACGTACGATATTTTACGCCATACTACTAAATCCGTACAAATCCTGATAATATTTCCACCATCTAAAGGACTAAAAATCACTAATCATAACCTCTAAGAGAGGTTATGTTTTTGTTTATAACCAATCATTGCCACGCAAATACAGTATAATCAGCTGATTGGTGTCCGGTAAAACTCATTGCAGAACAGTATTACGCAATGAAACCCCATTTGAATAAGCTGGCGGCAAACAGCTGTTTTCTGGACTAAATCCTTGCGTGGGAAGTTAATCAAAATAATGTAGTGTGGTGTAAAAGAGTTTAAATAATATAGCAAGCAATTGTTGTGTAACATCATATTTATACTTTTGCCACCAAATGCCATACTGATGTGTTGTTCAGACTGCCACAGCAGCGGTGGAGTGCTAGCAACCCCTGTCAATCTGAAGAGTGGGACGCAGACTGAGGCTTCCCTCTGGATAGAACCCAAGACCCTCGGCCAGTCCCGCACTACACCAGACTATGCGGAGGTCCAACATCGGACAGTCACCACGTTCCAGTCTGTAGACGATGGGTCAGGAGCTGCTTACGCTACTACTACACTCGTCCCTCCTCCTACCTCCCACAGCTCCAGGGACAGAGGGGTGAGTCTCAACTGTAGTAGTAAACTATCATCTTGCAGGGTTTGAGCCCGCAGTGTCAAACAAATGGATAAGACACAAGAAATAAACTACCTACTACCGTACCTTACATCAGTCAAACATATCAAGGATAAAAGAAAATATTGTTTCAATGTATCGTATAAGGCCGAAGTGTATGTGAGCATGAGATTAGTCTGTTTTAGTCTGATTATGTTTAGAAGAATTAGCAATGTGCAATAGCATTGTTATACACTATCAATATTATTAATAAGCTACATGAAACTTTTTGTTTTAAGAGTCCTTGGAGGCTAGTGACCATCTTGGATATTTTAAAACACCTGCTGAAGAGTTATTTATTGTCCAAAAATATTTTTTCAAACATGAAAGTGATCATAATTTTAATATTTATTTAGTATACTGTGAGATTAGAAATGTTCATTGTAGTTTTGGATTGTTCTCCAAGGGAGTCCATGGAAGCTAGCGGCCATCTTGGATTTGCCCGCCATAAGAGCAATGTTAATTTTGTTAATTTCAAACGCCGCTGAAGAGTTATTTATTTACCATAACAAAATATTTTTTCAAACACCAGAGTGATTGTAGTTTAAATATCTAGTATACTGTAAGATTAGAAATTGTCTTTGTAGTTATTTAATTGTTTAACAAGTTAGAATGTCTAGGCTCCAAGGACTCTTGAGAGTTAACCCCACATACAAAAATTTTCGTCTAGGTGTGTAGTGTATTTTATTTTCCTTCCACCATGGGTGTGTAGATTTGCAAACTGACCTTACATTTTTGAAAAAGTCCCTTGGGCTCTGTCCCATTGGCTTTTAATATTCCCATGTTATCCTTACGAAGAACATATTTGTTTACATTAGCTGTTATATTTTGCTATTAATATTTTAGTTGCAAACCTGTGCTACAAACATTTACTGACTTGGATGAAGTGAAATATTTACTATTTGAATTTGGGTTGGTGTAAATATTACAATGGAAAAAAGCGAGAAAGCCTGGACATTTTTATATATTAAAGAGTAAACTGAATTAACACTGTGCTGTTTTTCTTGAGCAATCATTGAAAGAGCCGATTTGCAAACCATGAAAACATAGGAAAGTCATAGACACCACCAAGTAGAAGAAAATAGAAATAGGCCTGTTCTTGTTTTGTTTTTTTATTTTATTTATAATAGTTATTGTGGACAACCTAATGTGGTTATGAGTGGGATACATTTGTAGAAAACACTAAAAAACAAGATCAGCTTTTGAAAAAAAGATAAGATATTTACAAGAAATGTTGATTATATTAAACTGTTATGTACATCGTGAGTATTTCCATAATCTTTGAGTCGACCTTTTTAAAGTCATCGGATATTATGACTGTTATTCGTTTTAAAATAACGCCTGTAATTCTTCGCAACTGCTCGAATTCGAGGAACAGGTACACTAGTTTTTTTTTTTATATTTTTTTGGACCTCAAAAGCCAAAGCAGTTAATCATTTGTATGAAAGTATGTTTCATGGACATGGACAGTGAACTTGACCTTATTAATGACCATTAATGACCTATTCTTATAGGGTTTTTTTTTGTGTTTTTATGCCGATGGCTTTTTTAACGTTTTGATAGGGAACAGTCCAAACCCTGGTCTTGTAATATCTAATAAGGGTCTAAAGGTTACAAAATATGTTTATAATCAAACTAGCCTTGCAGTTAACAAAGGGAGGAATTGATGGGATAACAAACATCTGCACAGAAAAACAATATGTACTTCATATAGTTTTTATAACTCATTTGCACTAACCTTTTTCAGTTTTGCTTGGAATCAAGTCGGGAGCCTCTATACTCCCCACCTAGCTACCACAGTAGACTCTATTCTGACACCTACTGCCTTCACCACAATTTAGGTAAGACTTATTCACTCATTTGGTAACATGGCCTTAATTTACCAACAATTGTCAAACTTTTTCTATTAATTATAGAAATATAGTTTGGACATATTTCTAAAAACCATTATTAGAGTATGAAACAAATATTTAATCAAACCGAAGATTTGATGAAGTTCACAGAGAGTATTTATTATTTTTACATTTGTTTCAGGAAACAAAAGTAATGGAGACATAGATTCTTCATCTCTACGTAGACCCACACACCACAGCCCAAGTTCATTGAGAGCTCAGGTTAGCCAAATCATTGCAATTAATTATTGTACAAGCCAATTGGCACCAGTAGTTTATCAAACTGTCATATAAAATGATACTATAAACCAAGTTAAACATTACAATTTACAGCAGAATGTTGAAACATTTATGGACAGCAAGGCTTTTTTAAAGTCGCTGCCCACACAATCCTTGTGGAACCAAAATTATTTTTATGAACACTGAACAACTGTTGAAAACATTTTGGGACAACTAGTGTTCTCTTTGTTGCAAACTTTGGTTTTAAACACACACTGTAAATTCTGGTCTAACTGTGACTTACGTGTAACAAATAATCAAATCAGCAAATAATCAAAATAATAATAAATAATAATAATAATAATAATAAATCAAATAAACAATTCTATTTAAACTGTTTATGATTTTAAAAGTAAATTTCATAATAGCCTAGGATTTTTTATAATGTTTTTTGCCTTTTTTTACCTTAAAATTGACTCTCCACAAGAGGTCTACACATTAATGAAGCAAAGTAAGGTGTGATTCTGGTACATTAGAGAAAGGAACCATGATGACAAATGTTAGGTGGCAGCACTGGGAGGTGTACAGTGACAGTGCATCGTGTTACTGAGCAACAGACTGACCAAAGAAGCTCTGTGATCTCACAGACTTGGTGTTCTTTGCATGTAAAATTAACTATAATACTGTAAAAAAGGGGTAATATCAAGTAAAGGTTCGTCAAAATTTATAGGATGAAAATTATCAATTTTACTAGTGTCAAATCAACAAAATAACTATAACGTATGAGAACTACTTAAATCTGTCCAATATCAAACATACCATTACTATTACCAAACCCTTGATCGTAGCCAGTAGTCTAATCACAATGGAATACAAATCATAAGTGTAAAATAATTGGGTAGCAAATATAATATTCAAAACACAAACATCAAATGTTGTTGTCCAGATGATAGCTAACAGTGCAAGTTTAAAATATTAAAATACTTATATAAATCCTACTGGCAGGTTCCAGTTCCCAGTGAACCTTGCTCTGAACCAACACTGCCACCCAGCTTGAACCATCGGCCGCTGCAGTGGCGCCTCCACAGCCCTGGTGGCAACTATACCAACTACACACTCTCCAGCTTTGCACACAATCAACAACACATTTACCAGCACAACAGCTGCCGCAGTGAACCTAGAGGAAGTGCGGCTCGCTTGTAAGAATAGTAACTGAGGATCTAGGATTGGAGTGGCTAAACCGTTATGTTTATTGCTAACAGGAGATTCAGTCCATGAGTTTATGTCTTCATTGATACCATCCACAATGTGATCCTTTTCAAAAGTAGCCAATACTGTTTGTATATGTTTAAAAAAGTAGGAAAACCTGTTTGTCATTGTAGTTTATTAGCCATACATATTGCAGTTCAAACCAACCTGACCACTAAAAATTGTTTCTATTAATTTCTGATTTTTTAAATATCTCTAAAGATTTGGAGGTGCTGGGAAAATGCAGGATTCCTGTTTACATATCTGTCTTTTAAATCAAATTAATCAATTAAATTAATATTATGCATGTTTTTAAATGTGATAATGTAGTAGGCCTATTAATTTGAAAACAATATGATGCCTTTAATGCAGATAATGGTTAAAAACTAAAAGAAAATGTTTTTATTCTTTCAGGCATATTATTACAATTTATAATATAATATCTAAATTCTAAGTAGTAATAGTAATAAATATATACCATTTCTCAAATCCATCCAATCATCATTGTCCTGTCCTATTGAATATTTGTAATATTAAAACCGGTTACATTTTAGTTTTATTTTTTATAGGGTCATTTTGTAAAAATATAATAAAATATAACTGACAAGCAATAATATTTATATTATATGTTACTGATATAAAATGTACAAATATTGTGAACATATGTAAATAAAATGTGTAAGGTATAGGACTAGTACTTTTGGAATTTTTTATGTTTAGGGTGTGATGACTTTTTGCATTTTTTATGCTATCTAGAAAGGACTGCTAAAATGTTCATTTTGGTCATATTGTTAAAACATCGCATTATTTGTAAAACATTGATGTGGCAAAATTTTGAAATGTTGTAATTCTTTAATAAATGGCTTTTGTATAAAGTTCCTAATGATAACACGATTTACTAGATTTTTTATTGGTTTTCATACTTGGAAAATAAATGTAACTGGAATTGTAAATATAAAAAAGACTGTACTATTCCAAATGTTTATAGTTACTAGCTTTCTGAGGTTCATGTGATTTCTTTCCTGTTATGGTTATTGAGTTATATGACATTTGACTTCTTCAAACTGTTTAGACCATACATGTTGCTGGCTGGCTCTGTTCACTGTGCTTTGCTGTTGTTCCAAAATGATGTTGCTATAGTTCAGCCGCTTAGGAAGCTACCTGCGCGCTGATGCTATCAATGCTAGAGGAGGTCTCTTACTAAGCGGCCTAACTATAGCAATGTTATTGCTGTTAACAAAATTCCTAGTCATTATGTGGATGTTTACAAAATTAAGTTTCATACAAATTTCCTATCAATGAATCCAGTCAATGGACTAAGTGATTTTTTATTTGATATCATAGACTTAGTCCTAAATAAAATACTGGATTGCCAATAAAAGATTTAGATGGATGAATGTTTAAGTTCATAAACCAACACTCTCTTTTGTATATACTAATCAACTCTCTTGTTAAAAATTGTATATTGTGGGACAAAGAATCAGGGGCTATTATAAAATCTAAATAAAATTAGTTGCTGAGGAAAATTATAATATAAAGTGAAAAAGTTTTCTTGAAAATGTCATTACTAAGTTTTTAATAATTGAATACATGCAATAGTCTACTGTATTAACTAAAGATTTCAAGATAAAAGCTTAACATACTATAGTTGTGAAATGATATCTTCAGTTATACCCTTAGCAATATGAGAGTGCTCGTGAACACATTTTACCTAGCTTTCAGGGGCACTTAAATATTGCTAAGGGTATAAAGGTTTACAATTAATACTTCTCTTTAAAACCTTTTCTCTCTAAAACCAAACATCTTTTTACTTTGAATTTATTTTAGCTGGGTTCATTTTAACTATATAATTTTTAATGAAAACACATTTTTGCTAGAGGTGTTTTATAAATTATACTCTACGAGAAATGTATGAAGTATAAATTAAATTAATGTATTTGCTACAGACAAAAAGTTAAAAAACGCTTGATTTTGTATATGATTTGAGTTACTAATATTAGGATTTATTCAGAACTATGATATCAAAAGAAAAAAAAAATCTTTTGTACAAATTGTAATAAACCTTAGTATAAATTGCTATACATTTTCCACGATTCAATAACTTTTGGTTACCATTATTTTTATTTATTATATTACAGTTGAACAGTTAATACTGGGTTTGCTCTTTCTTACATACTATTTTCTTTTTCTCCAAACAAATTATAATTGTAGAGCCTTTCATAGAACTCTGTAATATGTGTTCATTAAGGGCTAAGTGTAAGAGGTTTAAATGTATCCTAGAAATGTACATTTGTATTTTGTAAATATTTTCATTATTGTGATACAATAAATTTTGAGACGTAACATTTGGTTGACATGTTTTTGTTTTATACCCACTTGTCATATTATAAGTATAGATGATGTTTATCATAAAATACCCACAACTTTAGTGTTTTTTTTATTACTGTAAAAGTAAAAGGAAAAGTAAACACACAAACTTTTTTTAAGTATAGAAAGTTATCTATTTACTACAATAGTATGAATTTACCGACCTAATCTGGCTGAAGTCAGGTCAGAAATTTACAAATTCAACTAAAATATTACTTAAATTTGATTATAAAAGTTTGTATTTGCTTTTGCTTTTTAACTGTTTGACATTAATTGGCCACCAAATCCTGAATTCTTTTTAGTAGTCAAACTTTGGTCTTTGTTCCCTAATACATACGAGGTAGAGGTAGCAGAGAGATATGCAGGTATGAGGAGGTATGCAGTGTGCAGCGCAGTATAACAAATACAGTCAATGTAATTAAGTGCAGACACCTGAAACCTAACCAGTATCATCCAAGCTCAGTTTGAGGCAACTAGGCTGGTTGTCTTGACACACCTGCTACTACGATGCTGTACTAATGACAGCGAATTAACACATAGTCTCGTGAAACTTAATGCTTGTTGATAGTAAGATTTGGCAAATCTGAATTTTGGTTTAACAGACACAATGGCATACTGATAGGCAGAAGAACAGGCGGAAATGGGATTAAACTCCTTTTAGCTTTCTTAGGCCATGAAACGTTAAAAATAACAAAAAACTTCATGATTCTAATCTATGTAACCACAAAACTTAAATTTTATTTATATGTAGATATGTATCAAATTGTAAGAAAAATATCAAGGCAAAGAATACTAGGACAAATAATAAATATAATTTATTATAAATACAAAAACTAATACAAAAATAACTAAAAGCTTAAAATAACTGTTTGATAAAAATTAATACTGAGCATTGTCTACTTAATAACTAACTATTGAGGTATAGATATAGATAGATGTTGATGTTTTACAAAAAGTAAATACAATGAAATTAATCACCATCCAGTTCATCAACATTTAAAACATAAATTAATACTGCTTGATAGCAACAGACAAACTACAAGGAACTACTTTTGAGTAAACAAAAAAAACATAATCTAATATTTTTTGTTTTGTTTCATGGTAGGGAAATCATGCTGATAAAAATAAAATGTTTAAAATAGCCTAAATATGCTGAAAAGTCCCAAAAATTATAAAAATTGCCAAAAAAGTAATATTTTTCCATTGCTAACCAGTAGTCACATTGAACCATCATAAATACCCTATGATTACAATCTTTTTAGTCCATTTTATAAGGTCTTTCTTTGTTGCCACAGATTATTAAAGAAATAGAATCAGTTGTTTTCATTAATCTAACTTATTGCATAACATAGCAAAATCTTAAATCTTTATGACAACTGACAATGCGCCTAATAAATGTGAATCTATCTATATATTTAATACGCGACATGAAACTTTGTGAACGACAAGGCTTTTTTGTTTTATGATTTAACCCCACTTATTATAAACCAAAATGTTTGTCTAGGTGTGTAGATGTGCAAACTGGCTTCAGATTTTCGAAATATATATATATAAATATATATTACGACGTCGAAACCGCTGTTCAAGAAAGAATGCTAATCAACGTGATCCTTGAAAAAGTACCAGGCGAAGAAAGAATTTATCTCAGCATGTACTCAGTCAACACCGATGATGTTTCGGAACAATTACAGTTTCCTGTTGAATTCTTTTAATAGTCTTGAAGGAAGTGGTCTTCCACGACATAGGATAGTCTGAAATTTGGCGCCTTTGTAATGCTAATGCAAAACCTAAATACATGAAAAGGCATAATCAATGGTACCCGAATGAAAGTTACTGGCCTGTATGCAAATAACACTGGATGTGAAGTTTTGACAGGATCGAGCCATGGCCAGCTAATTTTAATTCCAAAAGTTAGGCTTTCTCCATCTGATACGGCTTTCCCATTAAAAACTGACACGATACCAGTTTCCTATCTGAGTTACACTTGTATATGCAATTACGATCAACAAAAGTCAGGGACATACCTTTACGAAGGTATCACTGAAGCTCCCAAAGCCGGTCTTCTCGCATGGCCAACTATATGTTACACTCAGTCGTACAAAATGCTTCGATGCAGAAAGGGTTTTCATTACAGAAACAGAGAAACAATTCGTTGATGGTGAAAGTTCTATCTTTACAACTAATGTCGTTTTTAAAGGGATTTTGGAAACAGTATATTTATCTTTAATTATTTAAACATGTTTTATATGTAGCTTTAATTTTTTTCTGTCATTGATTTGTTTTAATACCAAATACATTTTCATTCAAACATTCAAAATATCCTTATTTGTTATTCGTGCGAATTCCCAAGGGTTCACCTAGTAACAGAATAATACTGACCTTTGAGCATCCTTCATACAAGCAGAAGTCATACTGTATGGCTAGTTTCAACATCCATCCAATCCGAAAAAAAAGTATCAGTAAAATTTGAATGTTCTTTACATAATTATGTTCAACATGGGGCAGTGTTTAAACTCATTCAATTAATTAATAAAAGTTAACTAAATAATACTTCAAGCATATACTAAGCAAATAAAATTATAATTAATTTAAAATTTCAGAAGCGTCCAAACAACCTCATGACGTCAACCATTTAATTTGCTCTGAACAGTATTTAACATCACTTCAAACATAACTTCACACAACAAACTTCGGTTTGGAATTGTAAGGTTCCTTTGAGAGATTTGTAAAATGTTCACATTTTAGTCTGTCCACATGCAGGCATGAGTCTATTACTAGCCAAGTGTTTGACCCTCGGCACACTGACCACAAACACAACGTAGATGATGACACCTTGTAACGTGTTGAGAGTGTCTGTCACTAACCACACTTCTATGGGACCTCCGATGAAGTAGGAGAGAAGTTCTAGAGTCCAGTTGAGACCCATCACCACAAACAAGATCAGACAGTGCTTAAACCTGCACCAAACAAGACATCTTATCAACCTGATTCAGAAAGGAGAATTCCAAGAGTAGCTAAGTCAATTTTTTGAGATATAAGATTTAGTCAAGCTGTATACTGTTTCCTCAGTGCCACATTCTTTAAAACGTCCAATGCAAAATAAATAAAGAAATGAGAAGTATTTTCAAAGAGCATGCATCATCAATTTTGTTTTGTATTGCTCATGTGCATACAAAATATCTTGTCTTTACATGCTCTGCAGCTGATCTGTAGGACACTGAATTGCCTAATGAACATGTACAGTGTACAGCATAATATGTTTTTAAATTTAGATTATAATTTTCTAAAATAGCATATAAACTTTATAATGGCGTGTGTAAAGATTTATGGTAGACACACAGACAGTGTCATGCATTACTAGAAAATGTATAAAAAATATAAAATAACCAAGCACTCTTTGAAATCCATCTCTTTAGTTGTGTTTGAAAAAACTAACTATGCTCAAAAACACTTGTGTGTTTGTTATTTCTAAATACATTTTGAAACATCTAAGAAAAGAACGGCTAATTTACAATTGTTACTTTAAAATAAAAAAATGTAGTAGTTTCAAACACACTGGTGTGAAAGCTTCCCAAAGCAAATCCACCACATTTGTGATGCTTAATACCTAAAGTGACATTTTGTCATCAAGTTATTTCATAGTCTCTGCCTATCTAGGAGTGCTAATAGTCGTTAGACTCACATTTCAACCCTGCGGCTGGCCTTGCTGTAGCTACAAGGGTTGCGCTCAGCGTTGAGTCCCAGCTCTTCCTCCACACGTTGCTCTACGGCCGAGCGTACAGCGGAGATACTTAGGCAGAACAGCCCGATGTTGGCCAGCAGCAACAAACCAATGGGAGCATAGAAGTACGGCAGTGCTGCTGCTTTGCCTTCAAGCACAATAATTAAGTACAAATTTATGATTTGTAAACTGTATGTTGTTTATAATAAGTGGGTGAAATATAAAAATTAATTAAAAAAAAACACATATCCTGCAAGTATCCTGCATTTCTGCTGTCACAGTGATTTGTTAGTAATACTTGGGAACCAAGGTAGCAAAGTTGGTGAGATTCATATGCCACCACTACATATATCAGTACCATACTGTTCCTTGTGCCTTCCAAATCAATGGTGAACATTACTTGATTTGTTCATTCATACACACGTTCAATGTTGCAGATAAAAAAAACTTGCAATTTAGAGAGAGGTTTTTTAAGTAAGGCCTGGATTTGCATATAAATCCGTTGATCACTGCAATGAAGCTCTTCACCAATTTACTGGCATCATTTGTGAATATAATGACACTAGCTGGCCCGACAGACGTCGTCCTGTCCTATTGTGGTTTTATGTCACATGCTCGTTCATTTTCAAGATGAGCTCGTTCGCATGGCTCAATCACGTCCTGGTTGAAGTTCGTTCGCTACGCTCACTCACCTTTTGGCTGCAAATTAGCTGTTCTCATAAATTAAAAATAAATATAGTGCTGCACCCTGTTGGTAAACCTATTAACTTTTTAATGCTATTGAACATCACAGAATCAAATTGTTTAGTTGCACCAGTTGTTAAGATTCTTTAATTCCATTTAAATATGAGTACTCATAAGGTTAACATGGGAAACTCCAGAGCCACTGGGGCGGAGCCCTATTGACGGATCTGCACCAAACTTCACACAAACCATCCTTGAATAATGCTTAATAATGCCTGAAAGTTTCATTACAATCTGTCGAGCGGTTTTGGAGTCCATAAAGGACAAACATACAAATATACAAACATACAAACATACCTTGGATTTTATATGACACTAGCTGGCCCGACAGACGTCGTCCTGTCCTATTGTGGTTTTATGTCACATGCTCGTTCATTTTCAAGATGAGCTCGTTCGCATGGCTCAATCACGTCCTGGTTGAAGTTCGTTCGCTACACTCACTCACCTTTAGGTTGGAGCTCGTTCGCTGCGCTCACTTGCCTTCAGGTTAGCTCGTTCGCTACGCTAACTCGCCTCCAGGTTGAAGTTCGTTCGCTGCACTCACTCACCTTTTGGTTGCAAATTAGCTGTTCTCATAAATTAAAAATAAATATAGTGCTGCACCCTGTTGGTAAACCTATTAACTTTTTAATGCTATTGAACATCACAGAATCAAATTGTTTAGCTGCACCAGCTGTTAAGATTCTTTAATTCCATTTAAATATGAGTACTCATAAGGTTAACATGGGAAACTCCAGAGCCACTGGGGCGGAGCCCTATTGACGGATCTGCACCAAACTTCACACAAACCATCCTTGAATAATGCTTAATAATGCCTAAAAGTTTCATTACAATCTGTCGAGCGGTTTTGGAGTCCATAAAGGACAAACATACAAATATACAAACATACATTGGATTTTATATATATAGATAAATTACATAGCTGCTATGTACACTACACTATGTATTTTTAAAAGTTTTTAAACCATCGAATCTCTGCCGTGTCCAATGTATGGTCAGTGATAAGTTTTTTTGTTTTTTTGTTTTTTTTATTAGAAGAAATATAACTGATGCTGACATTCATCGCCAGATGACTGAAGGCTATGGCCCTAATGCAATGAGTGAGGGAAAAATGTGGAAATAGGTTATGGAGTGCAAATATGGCCACAAAATCCTTTGTGCTCTTCTGTGAGAAGTCTGGGTACCCACAAAAAACACAATTCCATCAGAAATGAACATTTTCGTGGCTATAGGAGGAACATTTAAACTCCCCTTGCCTATTTCTGCACTTTCTACACCAAGATTGGATCAGGGTCATAAACTTCACTCAACTGGCAAAGAATGGTAGCATTAGATATGTTTCTTGTAATAAAAAAACGTATCACTGAACTTAGCTCAGACGCAGCAGGAGATTCATTCAAAGGTTTAAAAAATGTTTAAAACACATTGCGAAGCATACATGACAGCTACAGAGCTGCAATTTGTTTCATTCTGTTCACAAACGATGCCAGTTAAAGGTGAGGAGCCTCGTTGTGGTGTACAAGCGAACTACGGATTTATACGCAAAACCGGCCCTTACTAAAAATACCGCCTTCATAATCAAACTCTTGAATGTAAACATAACATTTTTGTTACCGAATAATAACCTCATGACAGTAAACACCGCAAACCACACTGTGTACTCATATGTGTGTGTGGTTTTACTAAATGAAGTGTATAAATGAAAGTATAAATGACCATTTATACTTATATGTACGTCATTTATACTTGTATTTATGTACATTGTAGCCAATGTAAATATTTACTTAGAAACAAGCAATCTAAAGACAAATAAGAAGAAGAAAAATAACAATAACTCACTATGAAACCAGCAGCTCTGCAAACCAAAACTGGGTTTGAGGTAGGCATTAGGCACGACTGGGGTGAGCTCCATAACTATGGTGACAATCCCAAACATCAGAGGCATGCTCCAGGCATACAAGGAGTACCACAGGAACCTCACCCTCTCCTGACGTGATGACCAGCACGGCTTGCGACTGTAGAACATTACAACTACTAAACACTGAATGTTCATAAATAAGGGTATCTAAGAAGGAACTCCAAAAGTGGAACCATCATCATTCATCATGCAAATGAGTACGGCCAGATGCAAACTACAGGAGCCGCACATTTTTTACTTTAATTCATAACACATCACACAATTAGCAACGGATTTTAAAAGGGGTTGACTTCCTTTCCACATAAACCTAATCAAAGAGCATAATTCATACTTGTTGGGAGGGTAGATTTTCCTTCATAACGGTATCAACTACTACGGTAAGACAAGACTATGTTATGTGCAGAGATCAATCAATTAGTAGGAAAGATCTCATTTTTCTTTTTTTTCTTTACACTATATCCTACTTTATTAGAATGTCCAGGGGTACACAGAGAGAGGGAGACAGCGACACACTTCACCAATCAAAGTTTTTTTTTGGGGGCTGGGGGCTTTATTTTACTAATTGGTTTTGATAATTTATAACAAGAATTTTATAAGTACCTAATCTTAGAAAGTTTTTTTGCTCATTTCATACACTTTATTTTAACAGGTGGGGGAGCGAACTGGTCAAGTGGTTAGAGTGTGGGACTTCAAGTTTGGGTGAAGAGACCCTCCCTTATCATATTTAATGGTCATATGTGATCATTTCAAAATTACTGAAATAACAGTATCTATTTCATCAACATTTTGTGACCTTAAACATACGGTGTTTTTAGTTAACTGTTTATTTTTATTTTCTTAATTTAGTAAATCCTTGAAATTTTTGTCCCAAAAATTAATTTTGGCTGGATGTTTGACAAGAAGAATTTCTCTCAGAGTTAATTGAACTTAATACAAGTTTTCTCGGTTTGTGGCAGATGAAATTCAAAGAATACAGTATGGACCTGTAATTTTTATGAACAAATATTGTTTGTGTTTTGAATTAAAAATACATTTTACAATTTTGATTACCTCCATATAGCCTAATCCTTTTTCCAGTAGATAGCTCGACAGGTTTCAGGAATTATTTCACTTCACTTAGGGTTTGCTTTGATATATTTTAGGTGTACGTTCTTATAACTTCTATTAGTTATGCTAAATCCTCGGTGTCGCTATTACATTCATGTGGTTCAATAGCTTTTCTCCTGCAGGTATTTTATTTCAGAATGTATGGAGTTGCCAATTGCAACAAATTATTGTACACTTGTTCATCTGTTCTTAAAAAAAAATTATTATCTTCTGCTTACTCAGTATACTAATGCGAATAATTTTTTCTCTTCTCCGTAACCACTGTCTTGTCCATCATGAACTTGTCCATCATTGCTTGTTTCCTTTCTATTTAGCACAGCGCTTTTTAACAATTAAAATAGCAAACGTTGACCAAAGCCAAACTTCCTCTATGAAGGCTTGAACTCTGCGTGTGGACAATCTCGGGTTGCACAAATCTCTTCGCACACATGTGCACAAACAAATGAGAGCATGTGGACCGAGCTATAGATACCTAGTACTGTTAGTGAAAAGTAATTAACCCCCGCATAAGTAGTGTTGGGTGATTCCTAGCCTAGAGATTAGAATTAAAAGTATTAAAGTATTACTGTCTCAGACTTTGGTGGACAGGGAAACGAGTAAAATCCCCAGGCAAATCCACAATATTTTAGAAGTTAGGACCAGTATCCCTTTTATGTGTTTCTCTACTATAAATGGGACAGGTGTAATCACTAAAAAAAGTATGTTGAAAATAATAATACAATAATCCTGAACCAATAAACATCATGTAATGTTACTACCAGTTCCCTATGAAATGAATGTGCCAAGAATTATAATAATAACAAACAAATAATAATAATATTGAGTGAAGCTCACCTTCCCTCACTTTGTAACTTCTTTGTAAGAGCATCAGAATGTAATAGCTTGACCAATTGATATGAAATTTGGCCAACAGCTAAAGAATACTGAGCACAATGTTTATGGTAAAAAATATTTGCAAATTTCCTTCTGGATTTTATTCGCTTGTTATTTTAATGTAAGTTGAAAGAAAAATTATATTGGGTTTATGACATATGGGTTTATCTCGTTTCATTTAAATAAGATAAACATATGTTAATTGTTTGTAACTGTTTTGTTTACATTTCAATGTTTACTTTTATCCTAGGTTAAAGTTGGAATGTAACAGTTTATCAATGGAAGTAACAGTTTTGCTATATTTGTTTGAGCATGCCTCAAAGGCCACGTCATAATATTGGTCGTCGCACCAATAATGCAAATATTGTAAGAGAGTGGCGTCGTGAACAAGAAGAAACAGATGAAGCAGTAGCGGAAGAAGCTGATAATGATAGGCAGTTAGCTAATCAATTCCAACATGAATTAGATGCACTAAAATTTTACACTTGCACTAACTGTCGCTTCGCTCATTTATGCGTCTAAAGTGTAACGGCAGACCACCCTAGTAATAATAATATTTTATTGTCGTAAAGCAATAAGCATTGACAAAGTCATACAATACAGTCAGAGATTGACATAGTCAACATGAAATATTGACAGTAAGATTGTTGAAGAATGTAGCAAATATTTGTGGTAAATATTTAAATTTTGACAAAAACAACTAACTAACTATTGAGAGAGATCTCCTTCCATTGTGTAACAGAGATTATTTGGTTTCAACAGATAAAACTTTAAATAATTGTTTTATAGGTATCTCAAAAAGTTTTATACTAAGAGTACTTTTATTAAAGTCGACGTTTAATCAAAATTACTTACGTTAGTCTCCACCAAGTGTCAATGCAGAGAACATTCAGCCAGAAAAAGCATGCAACGAATGAAAATTGGATGACAAAGGCTGGAAATAATGAATAATATATAATTAACAAAAACTAATAATTTCAATACCAAAACTGCATTCAAGAACAGAAGGCCATTATGTATTTAATGAAGAAGTCGACAGTAAACAATAATCGCAAGTAAACAATAATTTAATAATTTAAGGTCAGATTAGTACAAGTACGGTAGATCAAATAATTGCGTGTTTAGGCAAACATAAGTTTAAACAACTACAGTTTGAAACTGAGTAAGGGGGGCTTGGCTTTACACTGATAATATAGGGCGTGCTGTGTTGCATATACTGCATAATCTAGAAAATTGAAAATGTTTCCATAATTAGTAATTTCAATTTCAGTTACTAAAACTTACCAAAAGTAACACAGGCTTTTTGTGGGAGGCAGTCTCCAGCCAACTTGACTATCGCGAGAGCTAGAAACGCAACGGTGAGACTCCCACAATGACAAGCCAGACTCTTGCCTTGAGTGTCCCTTAGCTCTGGCAATCCTGCAAATATCACCGTTGTCAGGATCAGGAACGGAACTGAGATCAACAAACCTGAAAAACCAAAACATGTTACACAATATCACCTAATTTAGTAGAATATCTCTAGAAGTAGTACCGGATTTACTTAATTAGTGTTCACATTCAACCCTACAATTTTGTTAAACTTGACATTACTTATAATCGTTTGGTTAGTTTTTAGCTTGTTTGGAACATTCTTACCTACAGGGTAGACGGCCATGGCAATCTTCTCAAAGACGGTCGGAGGAGGTGGTGGTGGGGGAAAACACAGCAGAGGAAGGGTAACAGCTCCATTGCCTCCAGTAGAGGGGTGAGGAGGAGAGGGAAAAGCCTCCAAACAGTAGTGGTTCAACCCGTACAGTTGATCTGACTGGAATGGTACGAGAAGAGATCCGTTGCATAAGATATGGAACTCATCATTACTGTCTTCTTCTGGCTCAAGTCTAAACCTGGAAACAAAAAAGTATTAGATTGTGTCATAAATTAAACTAAAAGTCAATTTTATTTTTCAAATATGCAAACAATTGATAACTGCACTCTTAAAAATGTACCCGCCGCAGCAAACTTGCAGACTAATAGAATTTCCATTCATCTGATTGAACTTTTACTAAAATATTTACTTAAACTTGTCAGATCTATTCCCTTTTCAAAAAGCATTAATTGGTTTACAAGTATATTAAGTTTATAGTTTATCTGCTACAGGGAAGGAAAAAGTGTATTATGGTAAAATAAAATATTAACAGGTTCAGTCCCAGCCGTCACACTCCTGTGTATGTAACGTTTCTCATCACACGGGAGTGAGTGTGTTAATAGTATAGTATGAAATAAATAAATTGGCCAATTTTTTAATTGAAATTGGGCATTTTAACATTTTAATTGTGGAAACAGGGGAAAAATTTTTAAAAATTTAAAAACCCTATGACTACCCAATTACAATTCGTCATCTTGATGGTTTGCAAACTTATACAAGTTTATCACACCCTACACGTTTGGACATACATAATACAAATAAATTTTTAGGAATAAATGTTTTGGCCTCTGGGGACATTAAAATTATAAAGAAAATCGGCCCGGGTCGAGGTCTTGATGTGCCATCTGCGGTAATAAGTAGCTTCTTCCCTAGAGGGAAATTTGCTAAGAGATATATGTTTGACTACTAAACTGTGAGAAACTAAACAAAAGCACATATTTTTGGTGATTATGTTTGTATATTAATATCTTGACAAATTTTTTGCAACTTGCTTAACAACCCTTAAAAGTTTAAGGTGTGTTATCTGAAGCAAAGTTACGAGTAGCATGCATAGCAGTCTCAGGAATACAACTTCTTTGATCTCCGAAAATACTAATACTGAAATCTACAAAATAAAAACAATAAAGCTCAAGAAGTTATGGGTATTAAGTATTCTGATATGCCATGTAATTGGGAATTTTGTTTTTCAAACCTACTTGCCATACTGACAAGGGTCTCCCACGATGACATTAAGAGGCTCCATGGAGCTGGCTGGGGGAAGACTGTCCGTCCCATTCCAAAACTCTGGCTCAAAGGTAAGGTTGCTACTGTAACACCCTCCACCATCTGGTAGTATAGTTTGGTTTGGAGGGCAGCACTTGGGGACAACACACACTTCCTTTCCTTCTGAAACTTAACATAATCACTTTACCATCAACTTGATTAAAACTTAAATGAATACAAAAAACAGGTTTAGATAGTTTTTTCTTGAAGACATAAAATGTCAATCGCTTTAGAAACACAAGTTAATAATGTACATTTATGTGACTTTAGAAACTGTATCAAACTATTTTTTTTTTTTTTTTTAGGGAGAAGTGGGAAAATGCATTTATGAACACAGGTGGCTAGCTTGTAGTGTGGGACTCTAACCCCAGAGACTACCCACTAAAAACCTCCTCTACTCTTCGGACACTAGCCTGGGAACACTTGTCGCACTTCATCAGAACTAGGACAAGTTTGCCTACGCCCGAAGGGCTTATTCCGTTTCTAGGCGTTCATTTCCTACTAGATCTAGACTGTGATCCGATCTAGATCGTTCTTTTTCACTTGAAGGATATTCTGGACAATGTGTGATCAGCAGTCTCAGTTGTCCTCACCCTCCAGCAAGATCTCGCAAATCGATTCAACCGAAAGCACCCCAAGATGTTGAGTGGCCTCCCGGCAGAGCATATCCCATCGTGGACAGCGGAATAAAGTGTGTTCTGCATCGTTGGGAATGCATGGGCAGTAAATACAGTCAGGTGAATTCATTTTGGCCATCAAGTGCAGGTACGACTGAAAATAGCCGTGACCTGACAAGAACTGCGTGAGATAGTAGTCAACCTCACCGTGCCGCCGTTCCACCAACGGTTGGACCTGTCTGATGAGTCTGGCAACTAAGTTTCCCTATATGGGAAATTTACTAAAAGGTCGACACTAAATAGTAACAAGACGTGGGTTTGGACAGTTGCCTTACACAAAGAGTAAACAATGGCAGAGAGCGTAAAAAACACCATAAACACAAAATTTTAGTACGAATACCTAGGTTTGCTACTATAAGGAACACACGAGTGTGCTTTTGTTGCAAAGAAGGTCATGAAATAAATAAATTTCCAAAATGTTATAATGATATATTTACAGAAAGCAATCCACATTAATTATTTTACCCTTCAAGGATAATATTGGAGACAACTTCTGTGTTCACAATTTTTAGTGGCTAATAGGAAAGAATAAAAGTGTAATATAGTTCTAGAGGAAAATGAATTTAGATACAGCCTTATGCTCCCCACTCAGTCATCTTTACATACTGTAAAATGAGGCTGGTGTCGTAAACCCATTTAAATACAGCATTTTTATACATTGGTTGTGTTGCTAGCTTAGTGGTTAGCATCTCGGACTTCGGTGCGGGAGGGACAGGTTCAATCCCCGGCACATCCACTAAACATTTATTCTCTCATGACTCTCTCGTAAAATGCCACTGGCGTTGAAAAAAAAAAAAAAAAAAAAAAAAAAAACATTGTGCAACGTATAGTTTATTTGAGCAAATATTAATTCAACAATTTGAACTAACATTTTTTAGCTACAAGATTATTATGACGAATGTACGGTAATAGCTGATTCTCTGTTATTCCTAATAACAAGTTATCGGGTACTATTTTTTACAGCAATGTAAAAACTTACTGGTACCAGTCAAAAGCTCTCTCAAAAAAATTACATATAAAATTGGTATCATGTTCTGATGGTTCACTTGTTCTAACATCCTTAAATAAACATTATTAATCCGTTTTCAATTGTTACTGAATATTTTATGGTTATTAGATAAAAGATAGTCACATAGACTGATGTAAAATTATTTAAAAAGGGCTACAGACTACAGATGCTTTAGTCTCAACCAAGAACAGATAATACCAAAGTAACAGTCATCAGCTGGTTCTCTCAACTATTCGAGAGTGTAAGAGGTGAGTGCAGCTTCTGGGAAGACCTCCATCAATGAATGCAGGAACCAGAAGCTGTTTGTTCAACCATTAGCAGCACAAATACAACACATTTGCATGTGAATTCCCCTCTGCTACTTGTGGTATAGGAATGTGGATTGTTCCTCACAGTTATTGAGTACATAAACAGTCTCTCTTAGTATTCATTTAAAATTATAATTTCTTGAAGAGGCTGTAAACAATTATGTCTACTCGATGAAACCACCTCAACATTTATTTTTTGAGCCTTGTGTAGATTACAGTTTGACTATTTGCAAATTTGTGAATTTGACTATATACCCATTGTCAATTATTTGATCAATAACCAACTTTGAGTTTTAATAGTTGTTATAGCTGTGTAAGCAATTGCCTAGAGATAGTGAAACTGAGTAGCTTTATAATCAAACACAATTCAATATCCGTACAATTTAATCAGAATGTATCAGGCGGGTAAGAGCCAATCTTGTCCAATATAAATGGAGACAAGATCAATTTAATTTGTGTTCGTGTTACTAGAAAATGTGATAAGATATGACTGACATAATCAACAAAATTAAGCTTTCATAAGTTGTTGATAAACATGTGATCCATCATGATCATGTTCCTGGTAGGAACAACTCTGGGAGGACACAACAGCAACAACGTTATCTCATAACTAGTAAACATTTTAGTCATCGTTATAACCAAATTACTAGTGTACCTGTTGCTTGAATTCGAGCAATTGCGAAGTATTACAGAAGTTATTTTAAAACTAATAACAGTAATAATTTCCGATGACTTTGAAAGAGTCGACTCAAAGATTATGGAAATACTCACGACGTACATAACAAATTGATAGTCTTGTAATTAACCCTTAGAGTGCCAGGCGAGAAATAAAAGTAACGCTCAAAAAATGCCGATGATTTTTCCCGAAGGTCGCACTAAAAATGCTGAGCGCGATCTGGCGATTTTTAGGTTAAAATTTCGTAAAAATCGAATTTTCGATATTTCGACCAACGAAAATCGATGTATTGCATCTAGTAACTTTCGACTCAATGTTAATATATGGGTTAAAAGAATCCGAGTATCCATTCGGTTGTTATGACAACTGTTCGATCATTACGAAACGTCCGGTCAGCCGGACGTTGGCACTTTTGGCTCGTTCTAAAAACGTCCGGTCGGCCGGACGTCGGCACTTTTGGCTCGTTTTATAAACGTCCGGTTCCCCGGACGTTGGCACTCAAAGGGTTAAATATCTTATAATTTTTCAAAAGCTAATCTTGATTTTAGTGTTTCCTACACATATTTACCACTTATAGCCCCATTAGGTTGTCCGTATAATAAGGGTTATAAATTCTAAAAAAAAAACATTGTTTCTATTTCTTCTACTAGGTGGTGTTCTATGACTTTTCTATGTTTCCATAGTTTGCAAATCGGCTCTTTTAATGATTGCTCAAGAAATGCAGCACAGTGTTAATTCAGTTTTCTTTTTAGTTTATCAAATAGTCCAGGCTTTCTCGCTTTTTTCCATTGTAATATTTACACCAACCCAAATTCAAATAGTAAATATTTAATTTCAACCAAGTCAGTAAATGTTTGTAGAACAGGTTTCCTTAAATTGCAACTAAAATGTTAACAGCAATTACATTATCCAGCTGATCATAATGTAAACAAATATGTTCTTCATAAGGATAACATGGGGACTTTAAAAGCCACTGGGGCACAGCCCAAGGGACTTTTTCAAAAATGTAAGGTCAGTTTGCAAATCTACACACCACACACACCTAGACAAACATTTTGGTATATTATGTAGGGTTAAATCTTAAAAAACAAAAAAGCCTTATTGTTCACAAAGTTTCATGTAGCGTATTAATAATATTCACAAAGATTCATGTAGCGTATTAATAATATAGATTATAGGCTACGGTAATGACTCATTTTATATACAAATTATTTAATTTCAAAGTACTTACACCACTGCAAAGTGGTATAATAGTAGACTCTCTTAGGCAAGTGTTTCTTTTAATAACTCAAATCTTTGACTAAACAAAAGTCAATGCTTATATTGAAAATAAATAAGTACAACCAAAAATTACTTGTATGCATTCCTTTGTGTGAAGCAGGGTGTCCACCACTACTCGGTTGGATAAAATAGCTAATAGCTGAATCCTGTTCCTGACTAATATTGGCTTGTTATTTAACCATACTGTAATTTATTTATTGAAAGCGCAATGATTAACGACAGCTTGGTTAAATGTTTAACCTTCAAAATATATTTCTGTCTTTTTCATGTTTGAACTAGTGACCTTTTTATTATAAATTATCTTGTGAAGTCTAGATATTTACATAGTTACAACAAAGAAACTGGTTTGATTGCTATGTCTATGGTTTTAGCAATATTGGTATAGCAGGCAGACTTTTTCTCCGTTTCTCATTCTCAATGAATGATTCAGAAGGTGAGACAGTAGATTTGCTTTTCTTGCATTCCTCTCTAGTTTTCTCAAAAACCCTACTACTTCAAGAGCCAGTCACTCTTGTGCACATGCCAATTCCTTTATCTCTATATTTACTGAAGATAAAGATAGATAATTACAATTGCTGATATGACAAGCTTAGATAAGACCAACCCTCATGAGACAGTGGAACTTCCTCTAATTTTACTGATTAATCCATAACTAATTTTATGATGGGTCTACATATAACATATTTACAGCTATTTGCAGTGTTTTACTTTTTTTATTTTTACTATAGGTAAGACTGTACAGTACTTACTTTTGCCTGAAGGTGTCAAATGTAATGATGTAAAAATATTATTAAAGGTGTCAAGGCTGATTATAAAATTAATTTAGTTTTACTTAACTTATTTATCATCTTGAGAAACCAGTAGTATGTGCCTCAAAACCATAATAAACAGCAGATTCAGGTTGATCTTGTAAACACCAGAAACCTTTTGAAACTGGTTAGTAAATTTGTTTGTGTTTAATACATTTGAAATCATGTAAAAAGAACTCATGCTTTTATTACCAAGTATTATTGTAAAATCCTTAGTTTGTCAAAGTCAAAGTCAAAACATTCTTTAATCTTGTTTTGTAGCGTTAGTACATTGAACATGCGTAATTTCTTTAAACTAATCCTTATAATTAACTAATACAATTTCTGCCAAAATATTTGCTTTAAGGAAGTTGACAATCCAATAAATCTACTTCAAATTCAATAATTTAACTAAACAATTTATATTTCTACTGTTCTGCCGTTTTACTTATGACTGTAAGTTTACAAGAACAATATTCTTTATTGGATGGAAAGCAGTTTTTGAAGAATTGAGTTGTTAAATGAGGAGTTATTTTTTTAACTATAGTAATACCAGAAACAAAAGAACCCTCGGCCGTTTCGAGCCGCGCAGGTTTGAATGGTACGGCCCACCTACCTGCGCGAACCACGTGATCTTTTCGTTTCTGCGCAGGTTGTTTTGTTCGTGGTATATCTATAGGTTTAGACAAGCTATACAACTAGTTTAAAACTCGACTTATGTAGAATGTTTTACTGACTCCCAAATTTATTACACTATTTTGATATAAAGTGTAGCCATATAAAGCTATTTGATAATTAATTACAGTTTTAACTGTGAATTATGATAAAATTTTGTTTGTAAGGGATCTCCCTAAAAATAGTTTAAGATTACACAATGCTCAATAATAAGAACCTTAACTCCTTATTAGCCTACATATTACTATCACCTGCATATGCTACCTAGAGAAAACACAGGTTTCTTTACAACTGAAAAATATTTAAGGTATATTTACATAGTAACATATATTAGGTATACATAGTAGGTATATTTAGTATTGACAGTGTTGGGAAGTAGCGCGCTCGACGCTACAGTAGCGCGCTACTTTTTTTGTAGCGTTAGCTGTAGCTACGCTACTTTTAAGATTTCGTAGCTTTAGCTGTAGCTAGCTACATTTTTAAAGTAGTTGTAGCGGAACTTTAGCTACTTTTCTCGCTACATTAACATTGTTGGAGATAGTGATTTTTATCATAACCTCAACCTTACGTGAAACAACCTCTTTCAAACTGAGATTTTCAAAAAAATTAGGCCTACTTCCTTGGCTTCATACAGCTGGTTGCAGCCGTTTCATTCCCTATTACAACGTTGTGTGGACATGGAGGCCATTAAATGAGTGTTATCCACATTTTTGGCTCTCATTTCCTTAATTTACTACTCTATGATTACTGTCAGATAAAATAAAATCGCTAGTTGCAGACGACGTTTAAACGATACCGGTGACAAGAGAAGCTATTGAATGCTTGCAAGTGATTGACAGGGAAATTAGTAATCAATTTAGTTTCTTTGTTATATTGATAGTGTATCAACTTGGGTTTTAATGGAAACCAACACTAAACCTTAAAGTAATGAGAAAGCTGGTCTAGCTTCAGCTGTTGATTGTGGTTCGTCATCACAAGCCCTTCCTTGGTTAGATTACGAAGATTGTTCTAAGGTTTACTAAATTAACAAAGAGGAAATTACCTGATGAGATTTAAGATATGCCTAGACTACATGATAATTGTAACGAAAAAATCTCCATATAACATGAAACTTAGATTGAAAAAATAGCATAGTTTACTCCTGCTAACAGCTCTTGTATAGGCCTATTCCTAGGCTATGCTATGGGTTAAGACGAATACCAAGTTCAATTATTAGGAATATATCTGTTTAGTCCTTTGCAAGAACAAGCCTACTATAGCCAACTTTGTTACATAGCCAAGTAGGCCTACATGTTATTTTTACTTTACAAATTTCAACATGTTAAAATCAAAAGCCGATTTCAGGATAACTTAAGTTGCTGAATACTGTTTTCTGTACCAACTAGGTTGAAGCACAATTTGCCCTATGCATAATGACAATAAAGGACGATTTCTTGATATTGAAAAAAGTTATTCATAGAACAAGTAACTTATCACTATGGTTAAAAGTTATAGCAATGTCGTTTTTAACATTAAAAGTAAAGAAATGCAATAAACTCCAATTTCAGGAGGCTAGTCTCTGTAACACAAAAAAGTATTTTTAAATAATCGTTTTACAGTTTTATTGGTCTTAATTGTTGATATAATACATCTATAAATGAATCTATGTTAAAGAAATAAAATTAGCTTTTAAAATATAGTTTTTTGTATGTCCTTTGAACTTAATGAAATTTACATATAAGATGCTTAAAAATAATGCAATATTTAAAAATAAGTACTAAATATGATGATGGGACACCCAACTATTTGGTTCTGTTGTTGTAATTTTAGGTTTATAATGCCAACAAATTAAATACAATCTAGGAATAATTTGTTTTCCAAGTAATGTTAGATACAATACTGACATTTTTTTTTATGTTTGTTCAATAAAAATGTAGTTGCAATTGATTTTACATTTACCTAATGTGCGTGGAATAAAAAGTAACGTCTTTGGAAGAAAAGTAGCTAAAATTGTAGCTGTAGCTACATTTCATTGTAGCTGTAGTTGTAGCTAGCTACTTTTTCGGAACTGTAGCTGTAGCTGTAGCTAAGCTACTTTTTTGGAAATGTAGCAGTAGTTGTAGCTAGCTACATTTTAAAAGTAGCTTCCCCAACACTGAGTATTGATGTACATATAGCAAACAACTGGTTGAAAATTAATAATTCTAACAACTGATTGTATGAAATTAATGATTGTTGTATGAATAAAACTATTTATTATCAGTGTTTGAACAAGTAGTGTTTCACAGAAACCCAGGGTTCTTTGACAAACTAGCATGTATTTATATTTAGCCAAAAAACGAGTAAAAAGTAATTTTAGGTAGTTGATGCAAGAATCTTTTAAGCATATTTCTCGATAGGGAAATAGTTAGGCTAATACCGTTACATTTATGGTGCTTGATTGATTAGTCATTCATTTTAGGGTTCCCATAAGCAAAATAAATGTGTTCTTTGAAATTTGTATATAAATGTAGGCCAAGTAGGCACAAAAACTCTGATAAAAACCTACTAACTCTCTTCCTTACTTTGAAAAATCTTGGTATGCATGTTTGTTGCAAGAGGGCTATTTAACTCAGAGATATAGCAGCAATAACAATAACCCAAATATTTTATAGGCTACACTGTTTATTTTTTTACCATAAAATTTGTATACAAAAAAAATTCTACATTAACACTGCCAAGTACTTTTTTCCAATCTATTGTTAAAATGTTTCTACTTTACGTAAGTCTAAAGTATTTTTTCCCGAGTAAGGAGTTAGCAGTTAGCAGGTACTGTACACCTAATGATTCATCACAGAATGTTAACCTGACTCACACGGCTATATTCACTGTTCACCAGAAATGAGAGAAACTACTTCAGTTGACTGATACTAGAGATTAAAGTAATCAGTACCTGTAGTGTAAAACTACGGTATCAATAAATATTACTGTAGTTAATATGGATTCAACCTAAACACTAAACTGGAGAATACGTTTTGATACATCAAATTCATTAACTATAATAATTCTGACACAAAGTAAAAAAAAACTGTATCGGTAAACAATTATTTTTAATATGATTTAAAGAACGTCAAACTAGACATGACATACTGACTTGTTTAACGTTCAAGTAGAAAAAGAAAAATTATAATTTAAAAACTTAACTAATTGTATTCAAGTTTTTTTTTAAACAAGTTTCCTCCTATTTCATAAAATTGATATTTCAATGCATTAATTGAATTACAACGGTGAAAGCTGGGGCCCCATTATTATAAAATAATTAGATTGTTATGACATAAATTGATTTTTATACTAAGTTATAGTTTCAATTTGAATACAGTAGGCACAAAAACATAGATAAGTTAAACATAATTATCTAATTTGATTAGTTATTTTTTACCACTAATTAAACCAACTACATACACAAATGTATTTTTGTTGTATTAAAAATCAATAATTGTTTTTTCATGTATTGGAACCATGAAATAGACATTTAGATTTTGACACAATACATTTATGACACAAGTCGGATAAGAGATAAAATCAAAATCAGAATCAAATAATAAAATTACTATAACTAGAACCATAACAAAACAATAGGTCGTCAAATAATTTTGCTGTATTAAGTATTTAACAAAAAAATCTCACCCGTAAGCACGGCCAGGCAGATTGAAACAACTACAGGTGACAAATCCATATTGGCACAGACACACAGCCAGACTGACTCTGACACACAGCTAGATAGACAGTGACTGCCTGAGATAAGAGACCTGTAGGTGAGTGTGGGGGGGGAGGGGGGCTGATGAGATATGGACTATTGTTTGGACCAGATATTTCACAGGTTACTCCATGCAGGCCCACTTTGTAAATGGGCTGACTGGGGGGGAACTATACCCAGAGTGCTAAATTTCCAAAAACATTTTTAAGTACTGTTCTGACTAGTTTGCTACAAAAAAATTCAAAACACAAATTTTAGTCATGACATTAAATTAACCTCCAACTAGAGTTAAAACATATTAAGTTATTTTATACAACCTACTTCAATATTAAGATTGCAGTACAATTCAAAATTTGTATCACATTAAAAGCACACAACTTTGATACAGGTCTCGCTTTTTTCACATTATAGACATCCCAAGAACAAAACCACATGAGCAGAAACAAAAAGATCAGGTGGTTCGCGCCGGTAGGTGTGGCGTACCCTTCAAACCTGCGCGGCTCGAAATCACCCAGACTAACCAACACAAGTAGACTTCTCGTTCCATTGTAAATTTTGAAGCTCAATTTTCGTGTTAAGTTCATGTACGGTGACATGGGGTGCTAGTGTCGACAAAATTTTGTTCCTATTATTTTAGGGTTAATTTCATGATTTGTGCTTCACTGTTTGGTTATATGACTCTGACGAGTTATTGTTTATGATTAGATTGTTTTATTTGGTTAAACAAAGTTTTAAATGACCGAAATAACAAGAAACAAATTTTCAACAAAAACAACCTCTAGATTGCACCGTACAGAACTAAAAATAAAATTGGCTTCAGCTGTTCCATAAAGATGAGAAATCTACACAGGGACTATGTTTTATTTGTGACTAAACTGATGTGATGAGATTGATGGACTTTGAAATGGGTTTCAGTTTCAATCTATGAAGGCTTTGTGGGCTAGCCAGAGTCAGTATAAACAGTCCAGGATAACATGCTCTCTTCAGACCAACGGGATGAAGTGTAAAAGGTTAAGAATTTAGATTTTTGGTAATGGATTTGTGATGAGAGTTCATAAGTAACGGACCGGAAGGACAAGAAATCAAACAGGTCAATGGAAAATATAAAATATATTTTTAACAGTAAATATTTTAACAGAAAATAAAAAAGTGATACAGAGAATATAATTATCTAAAACCTTATTCAATACATAACATACCTTATAACACCCCCTGATTATTATGTGTCTTGAAATTAAGTAGTATACTTTATACACGTTAAGATTTTTAAAATAAATTAACCGTCTCAGCAATCTGACACATACTTTCTCCCATTAGCTTGTCACAGCCTTAATCATTGGAAAGAAGTTGTACTCACCATAATATTTATTTTACAGAGAAAATAAAAAAAGTTGCAATATCTTTTGAACCGTAACTTAAATTTAACACCAATCCTGTACTATATTGTTTAGTTTAGAATAAGGACCATAACATACTAATTTTAATCCAAATACATTTTTTGTCTAAAATCTGATTTTCCGTTATTTTATGGGGTTTTATGGGAAAATTACATAAATTACAATAACTTTTAAACGGTATTTTGTACAGCAATGGGGGATTGCACTTTTTTTTATTAGAGGGCCATAAAAACTTATTTTAATCAAAACCGTTTTTTCCCCGATTTTTAGTTATTTTATGGGAAAATAACATGGGTCCGTAGGTCTTATGGTAACAACAATACCCTGGACCACTTTGTTTTTTTATGTCCCCAGAGGCCAAAAAAACATACCCAGCCAACATTCACATACAGCAGAATTTCAACTATCCAAACCATTTGAATCACCAATAATTATCTGAATTGCTTTCAGAAAGACTTTAAAAACCTTAAAACCATAGTAATAAGAATCTTAATTAAAGAAGGCAGAAGCCATTATCATAGCAAAATCCAGAACCTCTCTCGCGGTCTTGTAGACATCATTATTGTCTCCTTCGGGTCACGGAATATTCTCATAATTTCTTGCAATCACAACTTAATCTTTTAAATCTTCCATGTAATGGTCAATATTGCTGATTATAGGTTTGCATTTATTGATTTAATTATCTATTTTATTTTATGTGACATTCCTATGTAAAAAATATCACAGACCCAGTATGTGTAGCTATAACACTTTGTAGAGAGGCAACAGGTGCATAAAATAATATATATTATTAAATTATAATATTTAATTCAAAACTACTAACTTTGTAATTAGGAGAGGAATCTGTTACCATTACATACTTTAAAGAAGTTAGATCCCACATACCAGCAACAAATTTAACAGTGATTTAGGGTAAATTACAAGTACAACTAAGCATAAAACTACTTCTACTCAAACAAAAAACTAGAAACCTGTAAAGCCTTTGGAATGTGATTGAAATGAAATAGTCAGTCTCTGCTCATGATAACCAGTATAAACTTTTTTGTTTCCTATTATGACGAACTAAACTGGGACTATTGCATAAGTTTCCATCAACTTACATTTCTTTGATTATCATACAGTATAACTACTGTTATTATTGTAATATTATTTGTCTCTCATGTTATGCTTAGAAGTAAATGAAAGATTACACTTTATACACAACTTTAAATGTTTGAGTTCCTTTCTGTCTATGATAATCACAAACAAATTTTCTGAGAAAAGGTTTCATCACCGTACCGTAATTTAAATCTACTAAAAAGTAAAATTAAACCATGTCTCTACACAGGATGCTACTGCTACATCACATTGAAGAAATCAAAGTAAAGCTCAAACTGACAACAAAAGTAAACAGTTTAATGATAAAATCCAGGGACAGCCCTGGGGTAGAAATAAGCTCAATAAAATGGTTACTGTATTATCTTAAACAAAACAACCAACCTCATAGTAATTAAACCAATAGTGGCTAGTGGCTGAGCATCTCCTTATAACTTAGCAGTCAAACTGTGGGAGTCGGAATACTTTGTGATGAACTTATTAACTCTTTCCATCACAACAGAGTAGTGAGGTTCAAGATCACTTCGTACTCTCTCCATATAGGCTTTCAAAATTGGCCGGTCCTTGCCTGGGTCATAGCCTGCCATTCCTAGTAAAGACGGAAAGGTTTTAGTTACTGGCGAACATAATGTTGGAAAAAATAATCATTTTTTCTTTGGAATATGAAGTACCTTAAGGTTCTTTTCATGAAATTGTGGTGCACAAATAGATGTTTTTAAGTCCAGTAATAACAAAACATTAGAATGGTTAATAGGTAAGATGCTAAGTGCATATTAGTTGTCAACTGAGCTTTAATGCTCTTTTGACTAAGATAATGTATTTGATTCCCTTCATTCAGGAAAAGACTTAAAAAATCTGTACATTTAGAATGGAAAGATTGGTTTCCTAAGAGGTGATCATACTTCTGCAATAAAGAAAACAGGTCCTGTGCATAGTTAGTTTTCATTTTAAAACATCTAAAGATACCTAATGTTTTATTTGCTTAAACTTTGATACAAACCTTTATGAGTTAGTGTTTTCTCTAACAAGATGTCTGCATTAATAATAAAAAAATATAATGGAATTTTAAATTTAGCGTGCATTATTATCAAAAGGTTTTCAACATGAAGAGAAGTTGTTAAACATATTAAAAGATGGACAAGACCAAAAGTAAATACAACAAGGGAGATGTTTGATTGCATAAAAACAACAGGACTAACAGACATGGGCTTGAAGGCCTTGCCAAACTGATATTAGTTGCTACTGCCCACGGATGGTAGCATACAAACATTTTACCGCAAGCCATACCAAGTATCATGTCCAGCACAAGCAATGTGATGGCACTGGAATAGCCTTGGCCACACTGTTGAGGCTCGACTACACCACTGTGATAGTCTAGCACACGGGTGCCCTGTGTGACAAGTTCCTTTTGTTAAAACGATGAGCTCCACATCCCCTGCGGGAGGGACCTCGTGTGGCATGACCTTAATAAAGCAGATACCGTATTCAAATACAACATATGACAATTGAAAAATGTTATCTCTGGTCTTAACAAGGAGTTCTCCTGTTCACCATTAATAAGAAGCATACTTTTCAGTTCACTATACAAATCTTGTAATATCGTGACTTTTAAACAAAGAGATTGTTTTTTGTCTCTTTAAAAAGAGAATGATTGGATCAAAATTTTAAGTAACACCTATACCTAGGCAATATAGAAAAAAATACATGACCCCGTGAGCTAACACCATCCACTTACAGAATTCAAATCAACATGGACAAACCAGAGTTGACAATATTACAACAACTGAAGTAACATTTTGTTGAGCAATGATCAAATTAGGCCTAACATTTTGTTGAGCAATGATCAAATTAGGCCTAACATTTTGTTGAGCATTAACCAAAGTGACATTTTAATCTGTTAAGAGGAGAGACTACGTAAAATAGGCCTAAACCGAATGTTATTTATTATAAACTAGCAGTTACCCACGGGCTTCACCCCGTTTGACTTCATAAGTATTAATGAACAAACATTCATGAAATCCATTCAAACAAATAAGTACAGCTGAGGTATTTTAACATTAGGTATGGAAAGTCCCCTTTAGAAAGGAATTACGACCTTAAAGGGCAATTTATGAAATAATGCATAGTTTTGGGCAAGGGTTCTCATCAGGACGAACATTTAAGTATATGGTTTATGAGGGTGTGACTAGTTTTCTCAAAAGTTCATGCACACTTTGGGATTTATAAAAGGATTGATTGCATATGTGTCATAGTTTCATTTTTGTCCAACACATCTTAATTAAGCCTGGGTAACTGACTTTTGTTGTCCTAATACAAAAATTGTCCATTTTATTCAATTGTTGTCTTGTCTGTCTTTTAATATTTTTAATAGAGGTTCTTCAATATACGGAATAACAAAAAAGTCTGGAAACGGCTTAATATCTTTTTGACTAAATTTGTTAGAATGTTAAAATCTTTCACATCAACTTATATGTATAAAAGCTATTTTTTGCAAGAATTGCCATTTTTTCCTCTACCAGGGGACGACCCATG